TAATGGTACAATGTCCACGGCACAGTTCTAGCCATGTGACTCAGTTGTGTGTTGTGTTGGTTTGTGTGGCTAATGCTCATCAGCTTTCTCCATCCGTCGTCCATTTGACTTGAGTGGCTTCCAAATTCCTCATAACCTTCCTCTTGTTGCTGTGTCCATGCTGACTCTCTGTCCCGCCTACAGCCTCACACTGATTGACAGCAGCCTGCCATCAGAGGCGGAGCCTGAGCTGCGGACTTACATTTCAAGGAGGCTGAGCAAAGGGGCCCTGCTGGGAGGCATGGGCAACATCGCCACTGTGGAACTCAGGTAACAATAAACATGTTTCAACACAACTGTTCTGCTTCGGTAATACTACAACAAAAATAAAAAGATCATGTTCACTCTTCTTTGAATGTTTCTCGGATGCATCACGTTCTATAATATTATATTATAAATAGCCATTGTGGAAGAAGTCTGTTTGATACTGTCGTGGCTTCCTTCCTAGTTTTTGTATTAAAAGCCTTAAACAGACATTTTTAACTAGTTTTCTTTCCTTTAAATTACTTACACTTGAATACTTGCTTGGCCTCCGATGGTTTGGATGATATTATGCGATATTTGCTCAAAATAAAATAACAAACTTTTACACACGCAACAAAGAAAAGAAGCCTTTACAATATTCAAAACAAATAGGCAAAACTCAAATAAAATAACAAACAACTTAAGTATTTTTTCTTTCTTGATAATGCTTATATCACTTCATAACTTAAAGGTTAATTGGACGGTTAAAAACTGTTCCTCGAGGCGTCTTTCTAGCAGGTTGCCCATCACTGTCACTTTAGCGTAGGCGCCGTGGGAATTGTAGTCTTTTATAGTGTGTTGACTACAGACGTCACAATTAGGTGGCCTTTCTTATAAAAAGAAAAATACTGGCTCTAACAGATACCATCACATAAATAAAATACATTCACTTGGAAATGAAGGTTCAGAGGTGGACAGAATATGTTGGTTAACAGAAATGTGTTGATTATTTACCCTCCCCCAGTATCCCAGAGCAGGCGGTGGGCTGCTACTGCTGCCTCGTGGAGCAGGAGAGGTCTCCGGAACAGCCCGATGCGGATGGAAACGGATATGTCATCTGCTTTATGGGCGGCTCTGAAAAATGGCTGAATTTATATCCTTTGCACACAGTCATCATGAAATCAACCTTAATCATATGCATCCTCCAGCTTGAATAATCTTTGTGCTTTCCTACATTGTTGTATTTCTTCCACATTGTTGTAACTTTTTACAGAGAAACTGCCAATAGTTCCTCTTCCTTAACCCAATACACATTTAGATTAGAGCTTGATAAATACGTCCAAGGCCTGCATAGCAGCCTGCAAACCCCAGAGGTATGAGAATATGATAACAGCGTAAGGAAGTCATATATTTGCCGGTACATTATTAATGAACTGCTGACTTATCGCTATGTGTTTATGTCTGTGTCAGCTGCTGAACCTTGAGTCGGAGGTGCGCCCCTATCTGAGCCGGTGGTACGAGGAGTCTGTGATGCACATCCATCGGGTGGTGCAGCTCGTTCAGAACAACATCAGCTTCCTGCTGCATGCTGTGAGTCATTTTTACCTCTAGAGAACGTCCAATAGAGTGAGCAGTTTCTCTCTTTTAATGAAACAATAGAATGTCGACAAACTTAACAATGAGGTCTGATGAGTACTGGTTTAACCATAGCAAATAGGGTCTAAGCCTCAGTAAAAAGCACCACAATTATCTGGATGAATAGAGGAACAAGTAAGAGTGTGTAGTGTGTTACCGGGCAGATGTTCCTTAAAATACATATTTACTATAGACTCTGTAAATATAAAGGTATTTACCCTTTTCATAAAAAAATTCCAGTTGATTCATTTCACTATTCAAATCCTGCATGTTTTCATATATTATTTGTTTTATTATATATCCTTATTCTATTATCAACCTTATTGTTAATACTCTATTTAGCTTTATTTACATTATACTGTTGATCATTATAAATGAATTGTATTGTAGTTTATTTGTTATCAACTTCTTAATAGGTTTAACAATCTTTTAAGTTTCGGAAATCGCTTGTAAGGCACTTGTAGGTGCATTTGATTTGATCGGTGCTATATGAATCAAATATGATTGATTGGTTTAAGACGTGCATTTCCTTTACAACAATTCTTCTCACTCATTATTGTTCTGTTTGCAGGCTCTGAGTCACACACTTGTGGAGGTCAATAATTCAGATGAGAGGACAAAGACTGATGTGTCCAGGTGAGTAAGACGACAGTTCTTGTTACACATCTTTATGAATGATTAATGTATGCTAAAAAGTAGCAGGCCTTTTGTTGATTTCCATGTAGTACAGATTAATAGCCGTCTATATCCATGTCTGTTAAAAATCTGCTGTATTCTGTACCAGGTTCATCAAAGCAGCCGGTTTGCCGGGTCTGTCTCAACAAGACACCACAACAGCTTCTCTGTGTAAGGCTATCTCAGAGGACACACAATCTGACCTGATCATCGACTGCTCCACCAGCCCCCCCCACTCTCTCTAACGCTGGTAAGTCATGACACAAACCTCATGAGGAAACAATTATTGTTTTATCTTTGTACTGTCTAAGAGTTGTATTCTATGTTTTCTCCCCCAGTGAGTAATCGTTTCTGTGACGACTGGAGTCAGGCATTTCTAAACGCTGCAGAGCGTTGTAATCCTTTCCTGCTCAGACAGATTCTGGAGAACTTCAAACTTAAGGTGAGAAAACATTCAAAAAGACAGACCTTAATAGTGTGTTTTGCTTCTGGATCCTGGTTTCAGTTTCCTAAAACTCATTACCCTAGCATCAAGTTCTCATGTGAATTTGGGTATAACACATTTTGTATTTTGTGTATACATTTTGGGACTAAAGCTCTTTTAAAATACTGATGGAACTGTCTTTTGTTGAAATAAAAAGTCCGGATGATAATAAGTAAAGTGTAAAATGCTTCTATATGCTTCAAGTTATTTGTATTTATTTTGTATTGCAAACATATCAATAAAATAAACATAACATTTCCCATGTCAACAAGATTGAGAAACAGCTCTCAGTTCCTCTTGGCCGATACTTAGTTTAATATCTCATTTACACGGCTGCCAGTTTTTCATCCAGATTGCTTCCCTTTTCATTCAACTTGTTTCCTCCTCTCTATTAACCACAACTCGCACATCGCAGGCCATCCAGGACATGAACAGCCTGAAGCGTTTAGTGCGACAGGCAGAGATGAGTCACTACGCCCTGTTTCGTAGCTGCCGGTTCCTACAGGGCTGCGGAAATGGGGATGTGTTGCTGCAGAACGCCAGGGCGGAGCACAGCGACATGCCTGAAGCCTGCAGCATCATCACCGTCCTGGAGGAGTTCCTCAAGGATCAATCCCAGGCCCACGCATGATTACATCACTACATTTAACTTCAAGTTGTTGGGCCGGTTGCTGGCGAGACAGTCTGTACAATAACCTGTACAGTTCTAAACCTAGAACCACGTCAAATGTCAAACATCGGTTTGCTAGATAAATATGTTCCACAGCTAGAAAAGTAGTGGTGAGATCCATACCATGTACTGTAAAACACTGACAAGCGACACCCAGCTTCCCTCTTTCTTTGGGGCTAATTATGGTTTATCGAGTGTGTTAACTTTGGTGCAAAAGAGGTTCATTTCTAATTGGAGATGATAGTAAAAAAATAAATGACAATGACCTCAGGGTGCAGCGAAGTTTAGTTGTAAGCGTAGAGTGGCACTTTCCCAATCTTTATCCTTTTGCAATTATTAGTGTGTGTAACAATACTTTGAACCAAATATTAATACTACTCTGTTTTGCTAACTGACAATGATCACAACACAACTGATCCAAACTAAAGCTTCTACTTATTCAAGTGGAATTATATATATGCATTACTTGTCCAAATATCATTTTGTATTTTTGTTAATTGTACCTGTTTCCTTTGGAGAAGAAACACATTGAGAATGCACAAATCACTTTTATGCATTGCTTGTTACAAAGGCTTTATTTGTGCTTACATTCAAACCTAATACCTGCACTACAATATTGTTCTTGTTGGATAAGTACTGCTATTGTATGTGTGTGTGTGTCTATCAAGTGATATTAGATGTTTAATCATACGCTGAGAAAATAAGTGTTGTTGATACAGTGTACATTTTCACTTTCTTTTGAGATAAATCTTAAAGTTTGTGTAAGTTATATTGGAGAAGCCAGCAAGAGTAAGCCAGATTTGTATACATTTAAAACAATTATCATTATGAATATAAACATATCTTAATGAATATAAATAGCAATCATGGCTAATGTTAGTCCTTACAGCTGTCAAGCTTATTACCTTACATTTAATTATTATAGTCCTGCCACAGATAGCAGATATTCTTTTTTTGTCAGAGCAGTAGATTTATAACAAAGATAATACATGTTTCCTAAATACATTACCCACTGTAGCTGTTATAGTATTCACCAGCTGTAGAATGAATGAGATTAAACTGGCACTATGTGACCAGTCAATCACTTCATTTCAAAGCTTCTCCAATATTACCCGTAAAAAAGAATCAGAACACATAAATTAAAATGTAAAAGAAGATAATACAATTGCTTGCAGTAAATGTTGGCATGTTTAAGTTGTATTGTTCACTTCCTCATGTACCTCCAACATGTGTTTTTTTGTATATTGCATTAAACCCATAAAGGGGTTTTGGAACCATTCCCATTCAAACCAGTCCAAAGTGTGTAAAACAGCAATACAGCTGGTGGTGTATACTTTAAAACTGTGAAAGTGGTGACATGTAAATGAGTAACTTCACTATTGTGAACCATGGTGTGACTGACCCACCGTGTGTGTTGACATTTCTGTACAGTGTGTTAATTATAGTTATAGATAATCTCTGTATTGTATAGAAAGAGATGAAATAAATACCACAGCTGAACCCGACTTGTGGTTGTGCATTTTGTCTAGCATCCCAAAGTGTAACTAAGGTGACAAACATGTTGCATAAATACAGTGTGTGTGCGTGTGTGTGCGTGTGTGTGTGTGTGTGTGTTGTGTAAATGCGTCGCTACAGATATTAGGCAGCTTGGTATTCTGTGTCTGGTCCACAGGTTTGGAGAGAGTGCTCCAGACTATCGTGTCCTCCAGCTGGACCTCATATCCTCCAGTAGTCTCCGTCCTCCGGCTGCACCTCTGCAACTACAAAAAAAAACAACGGAAACTTTGAAACATAGAGAGGAGGACATTTGTGTTGCACCTGTTGTTCTGTTACATATATATTTCTGTGTATATTTTGGAAGCTGGTTTATTTTTATATAATAATAATAATATAATAATAAACTTTATTTGTATAGCACCTTTCATGCACAAAGCAGCCCAAAGTGCTTTACAGAAAACACAACAATATTAAGATAATATTAAAATGATAACAAGATAAAACATCTACAGTGATATGTTAAAATAAAACAATTTTAAAAATAAAAAATGTCAGATAAAAGCAAAACAGAAAAATAATACAGTAAAACATGGACAATGATACTAGTGACAATTGAAAGTTAACCCAAATTAAAAGCCATATTAAAAAGATATATATGATAAGTGAGAGAACAAAACACAGGCTGATTTACCTAAAGTGTGATCAGGCCTCCTCCTCAACAGAGAGCTGGGTACGTCATAGATGCTCTCTGCAGGGTCTGAAATGGATGGGGGGAAACACCAACACACAAACAAATATATAATTATATATCTTAGCTAGCCGCTGGGGGGAAGAAACAGACATTTAAAAAGTAATGTACTCACTCGGATGTTCAGCAGCCCTCCTGTAAGACATAGGAAAGTCATACACACCCTCTTCCATCGCGTTCCCACACGGTCCTAGGAAGACACATGATAGGGTCTGTCGTTTAAACATCAGCATACTGTATATCATTTTATAATAAATAAAGTATAAGAACCTACTGTTTCCAAGCGGTAAAATGTCATAGTCTCCTTCTTGTCTTCCCTCTGTGTGGCTCACCCCACTGGTAACTGAAAACAGACAAGAGGAGTTAGAATCACATGGTTGAAAGCACAACTCATTTGGAAGTGACGGTAGGCACCTTTTTTTTTATGTAATTTGACAAAAAAATCCATTATAACCTTTCAGCATGTTGTAATGTTTTAAAAAAATGTTTTCAGGCTATAGAAAGTCTAGCCTTTTATGGGAATCTGAGGCCAATCACAGGCCATTTCAGAAGGAGGGCATTGTTATTGGCTGTTCTACAAATACCAAAGGCAGCTTAATGTGCAGGACAAGTTTCTACTCCTTACAACATTGGCAACAACTTCCTACACTGCAAAACAACCAAAAAAGGGAAGACAGGCTTAAAAATGTGTCTGACAATATAAGCAATATGTATATAAGAGGAGAGAAGGGCAAGGTTTTTTCTCCATATCTGAAATGCTTTTCCAAAAGTGTAGCTAGCTAGAGAATCAGATCATAGTATGTCATTCCAAAGGGCTTTACAGGCCTACATGTCTACAGAGAAAACATGATGGTAATTCCCATAGAGTTGCGGCTACATAACATCCTCAGGATGAATGACGGGGATGAAAATAAATGACTAGCAATCTTCAAGGGTATTGTGCTAAGCCTATACTCCTCTGGTGGGAGGGGTCAAGGACAGAGGATGAAGCTGCAGGATGAAGGCTATAATTCAAATACCTGACCTGGGATACATTACATTGCATTTAGCTGACGCTTTTATCCAAAGCGACTTACAATAAGTGCATTCGATACCACTTGTTAAAAGGTTATTATGGAATTTATGCCAAGTGAAGCAAAGAAAAGCCTGGCTTTAAGACTAGAACTGATAAAGGACATCTTGGAAGGTGCAAATGAAAGTTAACCATTGTGTTGCTGGTAGCCACAGGCTGGAGGTGTGTTTTGTTGCGTGGCCTCCTCATGGTTCAGCTCCTCTAATGGGCAGATTGGGGTGGCGATGCTCCAGATGTCATGGTGGATGTGGCCCGTCGGGGGGGGGGCAGAGAAGGGCCGAGCAGGCAGCGACTCCATCACACTGTCAATGTTTGAGTAGATAGGTGCGCTGGTGTTTAATCTTTCTCGCTGCTCACACACTTCCAGGCTGAGGAGAGGTGAGAAGGCCAGTAGTTGGAACATTTATTACTTTGGTTCAAGTGTAGAAAGGACTTCTGACTTACTTTGGGCTTCTGGAGTCTGAGAGACCAGAGGTAGAAAGATGCATAGCCTGCCAGAGGCATCTCACCCACTCCTTTCTGAGGGCTGCTGTCTCTGCTGCCTACACACACACACACACGCGCACGCACACACACACGCGCGCACGCACACACACACGCGCACACACACACACACACCACACACACACACACACACACACACACACACACACACACACACACACACACACACACACACACACACCACACACACACACACACACACACACCACACACACACACACTGAAACATCCTACCACACTTCTGGTCTGCACATTTATGAGATTGTGTTCAGACCACAGTGGTGACTCACCAACACTTTCCTCTTTCCATTGGTCATGATGATCTCAAAAATGATGCGATTACCGGCAACTCTCGGGACTTCTCGCACCGACTGCACCTGACAGAGATGTGGACAGAGAGAGACTTAGGCAAGTCAAATTCACATGTATATCATATTTCAGCAACAAGGCAATTCAAAACACTTTAGGTAAAATAATTAAAGCATCAAGATACAATGCAAAATAAGCTAATTATAAAGGACATTTAAATCAAAATCATCACAGACATTAAATAAATAAATACCTCTATGGACAACTCAATACAAATAAAGCAACAGCGGTGGTTGAAGAATTGAATCTTTTACTTAAATCTAGAGTAAATCTTTTAAAACACTTTTTATATTTGTTGAAATGATCTCCATATCCTTACAACAATCGATGAATCAAATATTCTGACAAAGAGTTAGGGTATATTATAAGTAACATTTTTCTCAAGTTAAAAAAACCCATAAATATTAGCAGCAACATCTACTCAAAGCACTAAAACTGTTTTTGGAATAATATACATTTTTGGATTATTATTAAGTACCTAACGACTAAAGTTGTCAAGTATATCAAATGGATCTATACAGCATAAAGTAGCTTTAAATGATACGACTCAAATTCAAGTAACTTAAATTGTTCAGTACTTGACTAAACACATTTAGGTAGAGATTAAAGTGGTTACTTATATTATAATCGTATCATATTATTACAGTGGTAAGATGTAGAAGACTTACTGTGTAAATGTAGTAATAGCCTCTCAAATGGGACTGTGAAGAGAGCAATGCAAAAATTACTTTTAAAACAGGGTGATCGTTTACAGAAAAGATAGAAAAACTACTGGTGCTGGAACTATCCTTCACTTGAGTATGTTTTGGCATTATGAATAGAAGGTGCTCATCATGAAATGTATAAGAAATGTAGTAGTGTGAATATTATTCACCAGTGTGATATTTACAGCAGGTAAATGTGTACTTACAGCGCTGCCATTCTTCTGTGTATAAAAGAACAGGGTTGTGTTTTGAAGCCTGAACCAATATGTCACCCATCTTAGTTTCTAGAGAAAAAAGTGAATCTGTAGCAATTTTTTTACATCTTTACGATAAACATATAATCATATTTAATTACAAGATAGTTTTCAACTTACCATAGTATCTTTTCTTTTCTGCAGGAAGCCTTCTAACAATAATTTAGTCTGATCTACTGACATGTTAACCCTCGGTAGATTGACTTTAAACTACTTTAGCCAGTGAAATGACTGTCTACCTGCGTGTGTGTGTGGTGTGTGTGACTTCCTCCTCACGCATGCTGAGAGCAGTATTGTTCACAGCGCCATCACATACTCACTTCTCTATTCTGCTTCATAAAAGTCGTATCTGTCTCCAAAACACAGCTGATCTTACATTCATTTCACAAATCTAGTTTGGAAATAACCACTTATTCTCTCAGGAAGAACACACAAGCACAACATGGCTTCAGTGGGTGTAAATGTCATTTATTACAGATATTTAAAACCAATTTATTTTCCTCATTGCTCTTAAATGTTGCTGTCATTTAACCCTTACAACACGCCTACATGGCTGGGCCAGATCATACCATTTTTTTATTGTAAATGCTGGAAAAGAGAAGAATGAGAATAAACACTTTTTAATAGTTTAAAGGTGGGAGAGGTGCACTGAATGGCTGTTGTTAATAGCATAATCTGTTGATATATGGTGCTTCTAACTTCATAAAAATATACCATGAGGGACGAAGCTCTATTTGAAAACCAGAAAAATAAAATCAGAAAAAAACAATACATCATAAGGACTGCTTTGATAAAACTAAATACAAAAATACAAGGAAAATGTAAATCCCTCTGTTTCATGCGGTGCACTCAAAACAGACAAGAAAAACAAAGAAACAGGTTAATAAATAAACACACAAAATAAACAAGTGCATGCCAATCATGACCTCTCTAGTGTTAGATGCATCGCTAACACCTGTAGGAGCTTGTTGTGCGGTCTATGGGTCCAATTCTAAAAGTCCTACATGCATAAAATGCTGCATATACACTATATTTATTAACAGATTCAAGTCCCTTTGTGGTGTTGCTGTATATGGCTGCCTCTCTCTGGTCTCCAACCATCTAACTAATGAATAATACTGACCTGAGAAATAAAAAGAGGACTGGATCAGCTGAAAACATCCAGTGATTAGTAGAGTCGGACTATACTAGGCAACATGTCAGCATTTACAAATTGAATGATTTCAAAAGTACGCCTGCTCCTTTTCCCACAACTTTAAAACAGAAAAACTACACCACACTTCATTTTTTTTAATGCATATAAAATGTAACTATGATTTCGCTCATTTGTTTCTTGCTTGTGTTGCATTGTGGGAAGGGGATGAGGCGGAGTTGAGGGTGGGTTAGTCAGCCAGTGTTTTTGAGTCTTTCAGGTAGGAGGGGAGGGGGCAGAGTCACCAGAAGGGGCCGGGGGGAGGAAGTGTCACGCTGTCCCATCACCGCTGTTTGAGCAGTGCTCTGTACATGGCGAAGCCCAGCACCGCGAACACCGTGGCCCCCACACTCGCTCTCAGCCAGAAGGTGGAGTTCTTCAGATCGGCCTGAGCCATGTGCCTGTGAGAGAGAGAGAGAGGGACAGGTCATGTGAGGGGGGGAAAGCAACAAGGAAAAGAGGGAGCAGCATCTAAAACAGGGGTGTCCAAACTAGGTCCATTTTGAATCGGCCCTCACCTATTTAAAAAAGTATAATGAAATATGGCCCACAGATGAACTTGTGCTTATTAATATTGATATTGTACTTCTTAAAATACAAATGTAAAAATATATTACATAGCCCACTTTTCATATAAATTCTGTCAATTAAAGTTGGAAAAAATGTCACACAAATCGTAGTTGATTAAAAAAAGCCCAACTTAATTAATTACATAACAAGCTTGAAATCTACCCTTCATATTTCCTCTTTTTATAAGCAATCTGAAGCTTCTGTTTTAAGGAATGAGCTGCCAACACAATAAATGAAACCCTATGGAGAGCTGTGATGTAGGCTGTTGTGTTTCTTAAAGCATTTTCCAGTATCAAGAATAATTTACCTACATTGGATTGATTTTGCTGACTTATAACTTGCTGACGAGCCCTTCGTATATTTTTCTGTATGTGGCCCTCAGTGAAAAAGGTTTGGACACCCCTGATCTAAAACAATACGACGCCATTGTTAAAACAGCAGAGGGAAGAGTTGCCAACTGACTAGAGAAAGTCATGTGCCCTCTTCCCGTCTCTACAGTGGGGATTTTCTTAAATCAGGTAAATGAGGAATATCAGTGCCATGTGATACCAGCTTAAAACAGGAACACATGCTTTCTCTTGACAGTTGGTTTAGTTTTGAGGAAGAAGACAAAGGAAAGGTGTTGCTCTATGAGAAGCAGCAGCTCTGGTTCACACTCACAGAAAACCAGAAAATAATATATATAACACCAGCTGATCTGGCAAGAAACACAAGCACTGGAGAACTAGAGTATGCAAGATAAAAAGCAATCACTACTATGAGGCAATGGAGACAGCAACAAAGTACCACTGGTCTACAGCTACTGCACACTCAGGAGATAAACCAGCATAAAACATGTCACCTGTGCTCCCTCTGTTGTGAAGGGAAAAAAACTTCAATTTAGCCCAGCCTTAAACCTTAACTTAAAGGGATAGTTGGACATTCAGAAAATAATTCTTCTGGCACAGAGTTGGATAATAGTTTACCTCTAATATCTATGAAACCCCAGAGACGCAAGTCGGATCTTAACTTTTTTCTGTTCTTTGTTTACAACAGGATTTATACCATTTTTGCCACGGTCATTTTGCGAAAAAAATGTATTTAGTTGCGGTAGGTAAAACAAAAAGGTTTGGGCAGATTCATTTGTCAAGATCATTTTTCTTCGTGTTTGTTGTTGTAATGCTCATGTCGGCCACAAGAGGCTGAACCACTTCATGAAACAGGAATGCTTAAGTCCTATTTAGAAAATTAGGTTTAAATATCACAACTTTGAATATCAACATTTGTATTTTCTCACTTGTCTCCCAGGGCTTCAGTACGTATCTTCCGGTAAAATATTATGTATGCTAAGCCTGTTAACAGATGCCTGTTAGCTTAGCATAGCCTCCAGGAAATGAGTAAGCTAACCAGCCGCAGAAGTAGCTTCATATTCAACACCAAAAATAAAAGTGATAGGTTATTGATCCTCACTGGAACTGTTCCTCTGAAGTCAATAAGATAATTCCCAAGATGTAAAACTATTCATATAAAGACTCCATTATGTCTCTTTTTGCTACAGGACATGAACATTGGCAATAATGTTAAAATAGTGACCTTGTTGATAAATAGTTAAACTTATCCACGAGGACACATCAAAATCTAACTGTGGAAGTGATTTCTGCTTTTACCTTTCTGGGGGATTTAGTTGTTCAGCAGAGGCCTCCATAAAGATGGACCCTCCATGTTGGAGATGGTTGAAACCTGCTGCATCTGAATTAAATCCTCCTTTGAGCAGGAAGCCCCCGCAGCCTCCACCCAGCCCAGCAGCCACCCACACACACAAAGTCACACCATGGCCGGGGTCGTGCACACACACACACACACACACACACGCTCCAACGAAGTGGGTAGAGTGGGGCGACAATTCAAAAATAATATTGACTTGGGCTGAAACTAACAAATATTTCATTAGCAATAATTTACTTTTGTGATCAATTCATTATTCATTTAGTCTATAAAATGTAATAAATTGTGTTTAGAGCTTATTTCAGAAATAAAAAATAAAGTTTAAATTCACATTTAAACTGGAACCAGAGAACCCATTACGTCTAAAATACTAAAACCATTGTCGATTATTTTCTAACATTTAATGATTAAATTAGCTTGAATAGACACAATACTGTCATGTGATACTTGATGTCATGTGGGATTTAATTATCATATATATTATAAGTAAGCCGAAAAGTTGGTCAAGCCTTTTCACATTGAAATTATCTGACTTATCTACTTTTGTATGAAAGTGCATAATTTATTATTTACATGTTCTGTATTGTTAAAATAGAGAACAAATCAAATGAACACATCTAAAGTGATATCCGATCCATATCACCCAGCTCTACCCCGCCTGAAAATAAAGGAACTGTGATCCCCGCCCACAAGCTCAACTATGATATACCGCGTCATATGTCACCGCGGCGCACACCACGCACACAACGCACACAAAGGCACAAAATAAAGCTACCAACACATCACATTTACAAACCACATGGCGGCCATTAATCTAATTGTCATCGGGTAAGATAAATAACATTTAAAAAAGTAATTTAATGTCTTTTAAATAAAGAACATGTGGATTGGTGTTTTTTCTGACTCTTTTGCTCGCCCCTAAATATTTTACAAACATTGTATGCCACTTTAGCAAAGCAAAATTAAGTTGTATTTTAAATACAAAATCACCTTTCTTAAGCTGCCTGACATTGCTTGTTATTTTGTAGACCTTAGAATCTTTTTTTTTTTTTAAATCGAGATTACAATGTCAGGATATGTAAAATCAAAGCATAATTTATCCCAGTCGACCAATGCACTTTTTAGAAAAACACCTCAGGCATTCAATGTGCTCGTGGCACTGTGCACTGCCAGGCCCATTAAGTGTCATGCTATTAATAGTTTAACAACCCCCAGAGATTAAAAAGACAAAGGTTAGTGCTGGGTGCAACGTTACAGTATGCAGTTCCATGAACGCCCAACCACAAGCTCTGCATTCTATGCCATAATTGGCTGAAAAAAATACCGATTACCCCAAAAATCTGCAAACACACCTCTGCCGTAAACAAACATACAAACTCTGCAGTGCCCCCCCCCCTTTCTTATAGTAAACACCAAGCTCTCTCTGATGTAGAGATTGATAGATGTGAGACATATTGCCAAGGACCGAGGCATGCCTTTGGTTATCCACAGAGGTAGAGAACAGGTGAGCCATGCAACTTAGCAGCAGACTGATTAGCAGAGGGTGAACACATGCAAGAGGAAGAGGAAGAAGGGCAGCCAAAAACATGTTTGTGAACTCCTATAGAGGGGAAGGACAAACACACAGACAGAATAGACAAGACAGGAAAAAACAGGATGAAATGACACGGTGGTGATTGGTACAACAGATTCTATTTAAACATCAAAGGAACACATTTAGATTTTAAACACTGAGTCTGTTACATTTATGAAGTCTAAACCCACAGGAAACAAGTACAGCTGTTTATATTTTAAGTACATATGTGTGTATATGTCAAATTACAGTTTTGCTTTTCAAAATAAAATGTCTCCTGTTGGAGTAGACTTCAGTGTTAATGATGGAAATATAGACAAAGGGAGACTGAATACATACTAGGTAATGAATCAAGCACTCAATGGTTAACGATAAGGGTTGGTTCCAAAGAGAAATTAATACACAGGAAGAACTGTATGTGATTGAAAATGAATCACATATAATCATGCAGACATCAATGAGGTTTTTAGTTTTAATGAAGTGAATGGCTGGTTTTTCTTCATCCTTTGTGCAAAGAATATGCTTGTTAGTCAAGATTCACAGTTTGCATATCCACTGCAGGAGGAAGTAGTAAAACGATTTAAAAAATGTGGCTTCATATCAGTTTTTAACCCTTCAATGTTAAGAGTTGATATTTTGTATGAATGATTGGCTGAACAACATATGATGTATTGCAGTTGTTTGTAGCATTATATATACTCAGAACTATCCAGAGATATGAAAACATTGAAATGGTTTATTCCTCTGAATGAAATCAAAATGATTAGTGTCATGTATGTGGGTTAGTAAGAGGGGTTGAGCATGCACTGCACTTCATGCATTTTCCACACGGATTCCAACACACGTCACCTCCCTGGCTAGCAGCCCGTGTGTTAGCTGGCACAGCGCGGTCACACTTCGCTTTGTCAAACTGTACAGAGGGGGGGGGGCGCTGGCTGGAGCTGCAGCAGAGACCAAAACACCTCACATGACCATCGGGTTTGAAGAATATAACCAAAAAAGTCAATAAAAACGTAGCTCACTTTTGATTTGTCTGAAAAGCATCTAATATACAACTCCTGTAGGAAGAGGAGTCCTACTTGATTTAGAAGGTTGAACACACATATACAACTTTTTTTAATTGATATTAAATTAATGAATCAATAAATTGATTAAAAACTTTGTTCACATTTGTTTTGCTCATCAGTTTGTAAAAAAAAAAGCAAAAAAAAGCAGACTAATGCAAACGAGCGGCAGCTTTTTGGCAACCCAGCGTAAAGCAAAAGGAGTATTTCCCAAAAAGAAATCACCAGAGTATCAAAAGATTCACAAAAGGAAAGGAAGAGTACACTATTGATCTAAACCACATGCTTTTGGTATCAGTAAGATCACATTCAATCCCATTAATATTCCCTTGTCCCTGAAGTGGATATGCAGTGTAAACCTGACCACAGAGGATCTGTCCCCATCACCATTGTTAGAGAGCTTGGGTGGAAAAGGAGCCACCCTGTGATCGACCCGGGGGGTCAGACTCGAGGGTGGGGCACACAGAGAGGAGGAATGAGGCTATGCTAGAATACAAAAGCTTATCCCATGTATGAACCTGTTGAACACGACCCTGCAGAGCTGGGCCTTTATACTGCGCAGCAGCTCCAACTTGAGGAGGTTCTGACACAGGCAATAGGAGCACCTGTTGCAGGCACACATGCAGCGCAGACGGGCGTGGCTGTGGAGAGACACACAAAGATGCGTGTATTCACCACAACAGAAAGACAACACGTACCAGACAACATACACAGAGGAGGGGGAGGCCAAGGTAGATAACCACTAGTATTTAACCACTTAACTAAATGAAAGAACCAGATTCAAGAGAATACTTACTTCTGGGCTGCAGCCTGCACTGCTGCCATTGAACTTCTATTGCTCAACTCATAGACAGTCAGACGTATTGACAGGAAAACATTTATAATGAACTTGCCATGTCTAAACTTAAAAGGAGAATAAACTCAAGAGACACAAGGAGAGGAAATCCACAAAGAAAGGAAGGGAACATGGTCTCATAACTTCATAAACAGTTGGTAGGATGAATATTATGATTCTAGTTAGAAGTGGTAATTATAAATGCTTTTTATATATATATATATATATATGGCAAACCATTGATTCATTGCATATAATACAATGAAACGTAATATATACTATTTAGTAAGCACCTTAGCCTGGCCTGGGTTGACATTTTAAGTAGTTTCTTTCTGAACAATCTGTTCACTGTCTGATCCAGAATTTACCTTCTATCATTAGATCGCATTACTACTCAAACTAATGGCCATGCTTTCATTCAAGTGTAGACAATAGGATTAATGGCTTGATCAAATGAGATTAAGTAGCCAGGTCTCATTATGTTCCAATTATCTCCTCTGAAATCTCTTCTGATCAGGAAGCTTTAAAAGTTTAGATACTGGTTCTGTAAAGTCAAAGGATTGACCTCAAAGAGTTTCAGGCAGGGACTTACAGGCCTTCACACACACATGCAGCCATCTCACAAGGCAGCATGAGAGACCCAGAATATGCATCTAATTTGCGGTGTTTGGTGCTTTTTAACTTCTCCGGAAGGTTTAGCAAGTTTACACTTAACACAGCAAATACATGTCAACTTTCAATAATATTCCCATGATGTAACCTTTGAATATCTCAGGCACTTTATAATCCAAACAACCAGGAGAGAGGTCAAAGTGGAAAAATAATAGCCATGGTGGATAAGGCTTAAATAGTTAACTAAGTGAGATCACAAAGGGTTTAATACTCACGGATACATGGCCATGGTGGTGAGTCTGGTGTAGATGTCTTTGCTGGGGGCCTCGATGGTGCTGCATGTGAACGGCTGGGGGGGGTGGAGCTTGTGCTTGCGGCAGAACTCGTGCGGTGAGAGGCTGTAGTGCTGCCGTACTTCGTGCAGGTCAGACTTAGCGGCGAGCATCACACAGGGCGTCTTACTATCTATGAAGTATTGCTGCCAAACAGAATAGTTAAATGTTACTCGCTGGACCGTGTGCAGCCGGCCTTTACGAGCCTCAGTGCATCATTTCATCTTCTAGAACATACCTTGTACACTTTGGCGCAGTATTCAAAAGAGCCTGGGTTGTTGACGTCATACACCAGGCAGACTACATCACAAGCAAGGTCCGCCTCTGACAGGAAGTCGAAGTCTGGCATCACCTCATGGAGCTAGTAGAGCAGACAGAGAGAGAGACTGAGTGTGCAGGTAGAGGGATTAAGGTGCTAACACTAACGCACAGTCAGGCGCGATACAGATTATATCACAGTAATCCAAACAACAGATGATGAGTCGGTAGTTCTTACCAGCAGGTATTTTTCCTGACCATAAACGTAGGTCGTGCTGATGGCGTATAAGGATTTGTGGTCTTCTCTAATCCGCCTCTGTGTCTGTGGTGGGGAACAAACACATTAATAGCAGGAACCCATCAACACTGTTTATAAGAGGGCTCCCTGCGATCTGGCCCGTTTGCTCCAACTCTGTGATTTGAAAACTTAAAATGTACCATAATACTATTTTAGCATTCTCTTAATTTTTTATAATAAATCAATTCTACCCGTTTTGGAATTTTCTATGAATTATGTAATATGAGTAAATAATACTGTAACATTGGCTCACATTTCACTTTACTGACACTTTACCTCAGCCACAACGCAGACTCTATGCATTACATTAATGCACAACAATACCTTTTATTACTGACGATTTTTATTCCTTCTTATTCCATTGCAATGTAAATACTGTTATATTTGACTATATTTTTTATTATTTTTAATATTTTTCTAGTTCTCTAACTGTGTTTTTAATTCTTGTTTTACTTTTATGTATCCACCACGACACCAAGTCGAATTCCTCGCACGTGTAAACCTACCTGGTAATAAACCTGTTTCTGATGAACAATGTCTTCTTTCATCTTCTACAAGCTTGATCAAGTTTCATATATTGCACATTGTTTGTTTTACCGAGGACGGACATGATTTTACTCAGTGTGCTTCCAGCAAGACACACTGGGAAAAATATCCCTTTAAAAAGAGAGTTTGAAATAATCTGAAGCTATGATTTCCCCTCACCTGCAGGTTCTTGCCCAGGAAAGCTTGCAGGAAGCCGCTCTTCCCGCTGCCTCGGGCGCCCAAGACGTTGCAACGGAAGACGCTGCGCTGAGTCTGTTTCTTCTGCAGATCGATGCGCTTGTTACGTGTTACTGAAAGAACAGGAAATGCACATTTTTCACAAGTGAGAACATGCATGATCAGTGGCAACCTACATTAAAAGTAATACATTTATTTTGTAGGCATAAACGCAAACATATCTGTTACCTGTAATGGCAGCAGCTTGGGACTCCTGTTCATAGATGATAGAGTAGCCAAGGTACCCCAAGTACTCCAAACTACGCTGTACATCGAGATATGTTGTCAACCTAACACAGAAACACAAAGAGCATGAGAGATTTATACATGCATTATGTTGTACTTTTATCTGTAATAATACATAATTAAGTATATCATACCGTACTGTGAATACTTTCGGGATTATAACACTAAAATAGGCACGTGTGTGTGTGTATGTATGTATGTATGTATGCATGTATGTATGTATGCATGTATGTATGCATGTATGTATGTGTGTTAATAGCTATGTTCCACACTCACGTCCACTGGGAGAGGTATCCCTGGTATGTGATCCATCCCTGTTCGTTAGTGCCCACCGTGTGGTTGACATCCGGGCCCCAGGGCATGTAGGGAAACACTTTGAACAAGTCCTTCACCTCCTCTGGTGACAGCGCACAATCTCTGTCCTGGGTCGTACCAAGCGCACATAGTTACATACATTTGAACATAACAAAACAAAATAAGCGGTATCATGCATTTAACTATTTAAAAATAACAGTAATAGGTATGTAGATTCATTGCTAATCACTCACTTTGTCATGTTTGTCGAAGACACTCTGGAGGAAGAGGTAAGCGTTGTGATTGAGCTCTGTGGTGCAGTCCGGGGGGATCTTTACCCTGCGATACAGGGACACACAGAAACAATCACTTTCAAAAGTGACAAAGGAAGAAAGAATCTGACTATATCACTTTAAATACCAGGCACTCAACCAGAACAAATCTGTTAACAAGAGGAAATGACTGATAGAAATTACGTCATTTCAACAGAGGAACACGACATCCATAAAATGATGAATGATAACATAAAAAGGCTTTCATGTATCATTTCGTAAAATTATAAATGAAACAGGGCTGCAATAATGTGACCCTGATCAATCTGGAGCTATTAGGCATGGAAGGATTTTGTAAAATTATATTTTGTTACGGCATCTTTGGAGCTGCAACCATTACAATTATTCTGCAACTATTTATTTTTTTATTTACCGTTTGCAAGTCAAATTTCAAGCAAAAATTACAAATAGTCTTTGGTTCAAAATGTTTGAATGGGAAACTTGAATATTGTCTTTGATGTTGTACACTAAATATATTTAGACTGTGAACGTTTTAAAAATAAAAATAAACCACATCTCCTTGGTCTGTGGGGGATGATCCCAAAACAAAGACTACCAAGCTACCAATAACCCTTGTGTCTTTAAATCAAGGTTCAAGGTTCCTTATGTGCCCTTACATGGGGAACAGGTATTCCTGTGTGAGCTCCAGGTCGTCGTCATATCCAAACCGCCTCAGCACCGTCCAGGTGGTCTCGTGTCGGCCTCGCTGGATGAAGAGGGTGTGGAGGAACAGGAAGCCTGATATAGAAGACAGAAAAAAGTAATAAGCAAATGTCATAAGCAAACATCTACAAATATAATCAGAAAAGGAGAAGGGATTTTGAGGGGATATAAAGGAGAATAGGTAATACATTGGACGATGGAGGAAATAGGAGGAAACAAAAACCATAGAGGTGTTTCTGACCTTTGAGTGTAAGTCCGTCGTCGTTGACTCCATCCGTCATGTTTCTCCTGACAACATTCTTCACATCCTCTAAAGCCTGAGGCGCCAGCGGTGTATTGAAACACGTTCTCTGAACAAAAACAAGCACAGTGTGCCGTGAGAAAGCTGATGGTGTTTTTATGTTTGGTTCATTTTTAAATCTGCCACATTTTGTATCTATTCAAGAACAATTGGTCGACAGTGCCACTATTAAAGTGGAAACCCTTACCTGGAAGAAGTTGAGCTCATTGTCATTGAGGATGCCGTCGTTGTCCAGGTCAGACACTTTAAAGATTCTAGTTAAAGACTTGATGCAGGAAGGCTTCAACTGTAATAAAGAAGAAATATAATTATGAAGGTGGTTATATGTACTTATACAGAAAGACTTAAATCAACAGTAAGCATAGTGGCAGCTAACGCTAGGGGATGCACCAATACAACTTTTTTTACCAACAAACACTCATCTCAGGGTATCTGCCATACTGTAGACACATCAAATATTAAGGCTCTTTTGAGCCCTAGTTTAAAATCTCATGGAGGTGTATCATTGTTATGTAATGTAATATTAAGCCAGGGTTTTCCGTGAGTCAAGTCACACGTTTACATTTCCATTTTCCTTCATTCTTTTGGCTTGCTGGGGTTTATAGATTAACTCAGAAACGTTGGTGTATTATGGGATTCATGTTGAGCACATTGAGCTACTATTGGACTGAAAGACAGTCGCAACCTATTTACATGTTTGTCCTTTGCTGGATGTTAATCTCAGAAAGTCTTTAAGGCTCTCACCTCCTTCTCCTCCGGGCAGTACAGGGGTCCCGTCGGGTGGAGCACAGCCTTCTGGGCGTAGTAGAACAGCTCGGAAATGTTCTTCAGGTTTTTAGCAGAGCACTGAGGGAAAAGAGGGCAGATGTGTGGGAATGGAGGACAATTATCAGGCAATGCATCTCCATATAATTTAAAAGTTCACTTAGAAAAAAAAGTCTATTACTATAACCTCCACAACAATCAAAGTCAATTGAGTTAGTTGAATACACACTTTAACGATGTCAATAGAGGCTTCAAGGTCAGAAATAAGAGTTAGTCTAAATGTATGTTGGAAAGTAACTAAGTACATTTACTCAAGTTGAGTACAACTCAAGAGTTATTTTCTTTATCTTTGCTACTTTGTATTTCTACTCCACTATATTTCAGATAAGAATATTTGATATACTAACATTACTTCATTTATTTGGCAGGTGTAGTCAACATATAAATATTGAGAGCATATCAAATACAAAAATATATATTTTTAAATCTGTAAAATGGTCTATACCAGAAATAAGTGCAGCCTACACGCATTCAAGAAAATAATCTAATAGTGGAATAAATCATAACACTGACAAACAAATGTGGGCTTAAGAATGAGTACAGACATTTTTTTCATTATTTGTGAAGTTCAACTTAAGAAGAATTTTGAATCCAGAACTTTCAATTGTAACTGCAGTACTGCAATTTTACCTAAATAAAACATTATAAAATTGTTGACACTGACAAAGAAACACAGAGATATAAATAACTTGGAGAATCAGGAGTTACAGCCAATCACGGCCTGGTTGAACACTGAGCCAGCAGTAAAACATTAGTGCGTGTGTGTGTCCAGGTGAGTGTGAGTGTCCCCTAACTGAATCACTATGCATGTGCCTTCTCTCACGTCCTCCTCCTCTCCCTCTGTAACCTTGTTACTGATCCAGCTGAGACAGGCATGACTGAGCTGCCTCGTGTGACGGAGGGAAATCTGAATTAAAGGGTAACGCAGACAGAGGCCAGCTTCCTCTCAACACACTCACAGTCCATCAGTCAGCTGACGATGGCCTTAGAGAGCGGGGTTCAGAGAAATAAATCTATCAACCACTCAGTCAGAGTGTAAGTGGAGTCAGGAGCTGGAGCGCAGCGGGGGGACGATCTGTCCTGCACAGAGCCAGCCTCTCTGACAGTCACTGCTTATATTGGATTTCATTGGATGCCAATTAATCGCTCTTAAGTGCTTCATCAAAGTACTTTCTTTGATATTTAACTGAGTGGGACATCCACACAGCCCTACCCCAATGAACCCAAAAGGTTTTTATCTGTGTGTGTGTATTGATGTCTTACCTCTACACATGTCTCGATGTCCTGGTATTGATTCATGATTGGCAGGATGGTCTCCATGCTGCTGTGTTCCACCAGGTCTGACTTGTTCCCCACTAGGATCAGTGGTACTCTGCAGAGAAAGTATTTATAACTACATTATACAGCCAGCACCATAGGTCGATTAAACAATTAGTTAATTGACAGAATAAATTATAGGCAGCTTTTTTAATGCCAAGAATTGTCTGGCTCGCCTCTCCAGAGTGAGGATTTGCTGATTTTCCCTTTTTTATATGAATGAGAATGGTTTTTGGGGGATTTTGAACTGTTGGTTTGACAAAATGTACTTATGGAATTGTATAGAAAAATCATTAATCAATTGAGAAAATGGTTAATAATTTATATTAAAAATAGTCATTAGCAGCCCTACTAGAATATGTTGTCATAATACCGCATATTAGCTTTAATTACCTTGAAATCATCAATAAAAAAACGTCATCTTTAAACAACACATCAAATTAATCTGTATTCATTAATTTAATTTATAATAATTAGCATTGGCAAAACAGAACTAATGATTCTATATTTTACAGGGCGGCATGCAGTTAAGTCAGTATTAGCTCAACAATGATAAACCCTCTTTTGGACAATAATCTCAAAATCCTTAGCTCCCAGCACTCTGATTTCAAGTCTGCAATGAAGTGAACCACAAGGAAGACAAACACACATCTATTAAAATGGCTGAACACACACCTGCTATCCTTGTCTGTTCTGTCATTTATAAGAGGGATCCAGTGGCTTGTCACCTAGAGGAGTAAAGCACAACATCAAACACTGCAGCGGCACAAACACATGTTTATTTTCTCAGACTACGATGATTAGAAAAAGCTTGTCTTGTTTAAAATTCCAGAAATACTTCAGTTATGTATTTGATTAACTCTACAGAGTTAAGAAAGACGCCATGCTCACCTTTTCAATGGACTTCTTGTTGTTAACTGCGTAAACTATGCAGATAACATTGGCCTGTAAAGACAAATATCAATATCAATAATGTGTTCAGGCATTACTAAACCAGATGAAAGTGAGAATTAGGTCAAACATACCTTTGATATTTCTTGGAACAACTGCTCTTCTGTCTGTTCTGCCTCTATAAGGTGTCAAAAAGGACACATCAGTACAGTACATAATATGTAATCAAGCTGTGCCGTTACCAAATTAATCTATTACTCAGATTATATTCGGTAGGGATTATTAAAAATATCAGACATGCAGCCCATGTGTGTGATAGGTGGGAGATGTACCTGAATAGTCCACAATGTGTGTGGGCACCCTCTCTGGGGTGACATCAGCTGGGATGGTGATCTCCTCAGCTCGAAGAGGAACCTGGGAGATAGAAAAACACGATTAATTCTTCTGACAACAAACACACATCTAAAAATATAACATATGTTGTTCTCCTTTTTACCCTCATGGTTCTGACATCACCAAATAACATTCAGTCAAATCTACAGTAGTAACCGTCCAGCCCAAATTATTTGATCAGGATGCAGCATAAATGATTTCAACGGTATCCATCCCCTGATTTCCTGTTGTTACATACCTCATCAGGAAACTCCTCACTGACCAGAGACATGATCAGCGATGTCTTCCCCACCTTGGCTGTACAGACGAAGGACAAAGAAATGTGTCGTTACAATCTGGAATTACATACATCTTTGACTTTATGAATGGGTCATGTGACCTCTCTTCCATTTGTATTGAGTGCTCTGGGTAATGTGTTAAGTAACAGAGCGCAGACCAGAGCAGCTGAAGCAGGGTCAGAGCTGAAGCCGAGTGCATCGGTTCCCAAAAAGCATTCACTGAATTCCAGCTCAGAGCAAGGAAACAACACATGGTGGAGAAATACAGTCTGAGAGTAAGCCTATGGTAGAAAGATTAGACTAAGAGTTGCACTAGTATTCTAAGTAACTCATTTGAATTGAATTTTTTAAGTGAATTCTCCACATTTACTCATAATTGTCATCAACACTTCACAACATTCTCTTTTAAATGACCTAGAATAAGCTTCTTTCTACACCAGAACAAATGCTAGTAAAAGAAAAGAAAAAAAGAGCAATCAAAACAACAAATCATCCAACTCTTTTACAATGTAATCACTATATAGATATATTAAAACATACATATTCTAACATAATAACATTCATAAGTTGCCATGTCTTGTATTTAATGATTGTATTTAAACTATTCATTGATTATCCAATTAGTCTATCACTCTAATTATCTTGATGATATCTGTTTTCTATATTATTATTGGAAATGTAATGTTTTGGAGTTATATTTTTGGACTGCTGGTTAGATAATAAACATCAGTTTGAAAACGTCTTGGTGCCTGGGAACTGAAAGGGTATTTTTATGATTTGATAACACAATAGAGAGCAAACAATGAATTGAACAAATGGTCGTCAGATTGATCAATTAGGAAATGGATCCCTTTAAGCCCCAGGTTGCAGCACCTCTGGTCCCTCAGTGTCTTCACAGATCTGTGACCCCACAGACTCTGATGAACTTTACAACTCTGGCGAAGGCACATATTATTTAGCGTTCCTTTTTTCAGGAACAGTCAGTACCAACTCGCCTTATGTGACAAAGTCAGGCATCAGGCATAGCCTTAACTTAAATATAAATAATACTGACAACACACGCTTTCAAGACAACAAACAGACCAGGTGATATGATATATTTAACGATGAGTGTATTGCCTTTATGGTTTTACTCTGCCCTCACACCGAGGTCCTGGGGAAAGTTAAGATCTTGTAATAACAAAAACCCAATATTCTGCATCCAGTATAATTTGGATGTTTGGACTACTGGATATGGATATGAAATGAATGAAATACAAATTGTGAAAACACTATGATTCTTAGTACATTTCTGACGTTTTAAAGACTGAAAACGGGATTAAATGTTAGCCCTGGTTCCAGTATTACTTTAATTTAATACTGCAGAAATTAACTTATTCTGATATCATATCTTATTCTCACTTGCCTTTCACTATATTTATGTTCTTGTTTATACAATCTAAATCAATTACACAGCAGGCTAGTAATAAATACCACCTGCATACTGCTTATCATATTAAGTGCCTTTGTAAAGCATTTACACCTGGGATAATTGTTATTTCCCACAGCCTGAACATGAGATAATGTCTGCTCATGAGAAGTAGCTTATTGAGATATGGCAGCACATGGAAACACTCGTGATAAGGTATGATGCACTGTGAGATACTAAACTGGAAACAGCAGACAGAAACCAAAGCTCACGATATGTATTCTTATCAAAGTCTTTGGAAAGGTTACAGTCACTAAATGTGTGATTTGAAGGCAGAACATCCACTCACTGCACATATACTCACATGTTTTAGTATATTGTACACAGTGTGTTTTCATGTATTTAGTACACTATGTTTAATATGTTCAGTAGATTGGCATATTATAGAGTATTCTCATGTATTCTGTATATTTTATAATGTTTAGATACTCCTCTGAATATAGGTATGTTTGACTGATAATGTGTATATATTGCTTTTACATTTTTAATGTCTATCCTTAAGATTTTTTTTCTGAATTCCTGAAGATTTGCTGTCAAAATGCTGCTGTGACAAAATAATAACCCATCACCATGTGTATTTCCTAAATATCTATCTATCTATTCACTGGGTGCATCTGCTAGCTGTAGCCTCTAGCTACCTCACTAGCATGTTAGCTAATAAAGCGTTCACCAGCTTCTGGATTAAAGACTACTTACGTTCCCCCACAAGCAGTATCCTCACGTCCTTCCTCATGTTTTCTCTTGCTTCCCTCAACAGAAAGGACAGTGTTTATTGTCTCATGAAGTCCTCTGGATAGCGTCCTCCTCTAGCAGCAGGCCCGCGCACTGAAGTCCTGTCAAACTCTCCTTTGTAGGACAAAACGGACGGACAGTTTTTGGAGGTCCTCCGTGTTTTCTACGCGCTTCTTATTAACGAACGACTGTTCAGCTCGGGAGTAAATGTCATTCAGAGACCAGTGTGTGCCACATGTCTCTGTAATTTCACGTTAATCACAGTCTTTTCGGCGCTTGTATAGCATTTCGCAGTGGATGTTACATGGGAATGTCCGACCTCCAACACCGGGCAACTACAGCAAGCCAGACAGGACAAACTTCAGCTGGATGAAAATCGCGTTATGCTGCTCTCTTGTGCCAAATAGAGGAGCTGCATCTGTTCGTGATTTCTTATGCAGTGGTGCATAGGCAAAGATGTCTCAAATCCCATACTTTACAATCCTGTTATTGAGTTTTAGGTAATAGCAAAACCTTTAATAGCAACACAATTTTTGACGCTCATAAACATTTATAACTGGCTCTGAAGATAAATTAAATATTATTATAGCAACTCAAAGATATTGTTAAAGATACGTGCACTTGTAACTTTCAGAGCATTGAAAGTACATTTGTTATAAATGTTGTCGTATCCACAGAATACAAGGCTACCAAGCAAAACAACAGAAATTAAAATATAAATGTAGAAATACATTAAGATATATAATAATGTGTGTTCTGTTTTATTCTCAACTTTTATTTTTTTATTTACACATTGATTTATTTATTTCCTTATTTATTTATTTTTTGTTGTATTTATTACATTTATTTATTTCAGTTTTTTTGCACATTTTTTTATTCTTGTATTTTTGTATTCCTGTATTTATTCATGTGTTTACGCATTTATTTATGTTTTACTTATGTCATGTTCTGTCTTCAATAAGTCTACAAAAGACTCAACATGGATATTCTCATCAGGGAGAGTAGTTGAGGTAATCCTTTTTTATATATATATATTAATGTTGGTATAATGAGTAATGTGCTAATTTTATAAACACACTTGTCTTGTCTTCTTGCATGTCTGGTTAAAACGGATTAAATCTTTTTGTTATTGTCTTGTTTTTCTCCATTTGTTGTGTATTATTGGACATTGGTATTAATGGACATGTGTGTTGTGTTTATGGATGCATCTAATCTAATTTAACTCTGAACATTTACTAAACATCAGAATAAATAGCAAATGTAAACAGATTCACTGAGCAGCTAACATTTATGTCAATAATAATAAACATGTTTCAATCATCATTGCACTAAAGTTCAAGACAAAGTATAGTAACATTATCATGATTTAATAAGTTCCATTTGCAATAATATAATATAATATATTATAATAATATAATACTATAAAAAAGTGTTGCTCAACTCATGGATGCTTCAATAAACATGTCTAACTGCTGTTTGTTAAAAAAGGTAAAACAAATCATGGAATTAGGTAATTGAATGTGTTTAATATGTAATGTTATATTACAGTATATGCTTGTAAGAAAATAAGAAACATAAAAACATCACATGGTAAAAATAGCATGATACAATAAATATGTGTTCATCTCATGTCAACGGTTTTTGATCATAAGTGTGGATTTTCACATAATGATACAGTATTTCCTGAAGTCTCAGATGAAGCATCAGATCTGGCGTCAGTTGAAGTGTGCTGCGCCCAGGTCTAGGGGAACCTAGGCGCAGCACAAAATGGCACTCTCCCCACTCTTCCCACTCCCAAGAAATGGACAATGAGACAGAAAAATGCCTTTGGTCATTTTAATTACCTGTTTGTTTTTAAAGGAGGCGAGACGACCCACATAAACAAATAACCCTGGGCATACATAAATCTTGCCTAACAAAATAAGTAAAATAAAATACAGGCTTCTTACCTAACCTAACGAAAAAACAGGAGAAAACAGGATTTGAACAAAAGAAAAGGGTTTCGCACTCCTGGGCAAAGCAAAGAGTGTCTTTCAAGACAGATTAAATTAGCTTATCTTTACAAAGATACCAAAATGTACAAAAGGACCGGTAATCATTCGATTTAACCACACAGAACAATAGATCAGGTTTTCTACAACAGACACGGAGTTGGGAGTAGGAGAGGTCGATGAGAGAGAGGGCAGAGGAACTGGTGGCTGCAGCTTAAATGCTCCTGTCTCTTCAGGTGGACCAATCAGCCTGTCGAAGGCAGCCAATCAGCTAACGGGCACCACCTGCTCACTCACACACACACACAGCCACACAGACTCTCACAGGAGGAGGGAAAAATATCCGCACACAAATGAAATAATGACCCAGGGTCATAACAAGTGACACTAGTTCTACAGAGCAATAAATCAGTGCTGATACGGCCCAGGTACAGCAGATCACTGCAGTATTTGAAAGTGATTTAAAACCCTGCAGTCTTCCTCCTGAGATTCTGTTCACATACATGTCTGTAGTTCATCTTTTATACTTGATGTTGGCTTCAACTGGAATGAGAAAAAAGGCAAAACATTAGAGCATAATCTAACTGCAGTGCACATGAATGATTAATGCAGTGGTTGACTAGAAAACCACCTGCAACAGGAACCACAACTACTGAGTAACTCTTTTATTTTTGTATTAAGCACATTAGTAGCATGGATTTGTGCATGGCAACGTCACTACACTGCACAACTGCACTGTAATTACACTGTTTTACTATGTTATTTTATTATATTACCAGTATTTTTACTTTTATTAACCATACTGACACTTGACCTCGTTACTTTAACTTGTCAGGACCTCAGTTTTTCAAAATGTTCCTTTAATTGCTAAAGTTTCAATTAAACCATTTGTATATTTTATGTATTCCTGTATTCTTTTCTCATTTACTGTACTTATTTCTGTCATTTTGGAGCTGTACAACCTGAAATGTTCCTCTAAGATCAATAAAGGCTTCTCTTAGCTTATTATTTTCTGGCCTTGCTTACTGGTGCAGTGGAGACATGGGTCTGGACAGGACCTGTTTGAGGGCGTCCAGCCACTCCTTCTGCTCCCTGTCCTGCTCGCACATGAAGACAAACTGTCGCTTGGGCGTCTCCACCATGACACCCCACTTCCACTTGTTTCCCTGAGCATGCTTTGGGACACACTCCTTCACAGCGTAACCTTTCTTCTCTGTGCCGATGAAAACCACCCCTAACTCCTCTGCATCCTACGTTCACAGTGATGAAAACAAGACACACATAAAGGTTGTTTCAAGTGCTTGACAAACATCATTAAAGAAAGTATTGGGTTATAAAGAGAGTTCCTCACCAGCTGGCCTTTGAAGTAGAAGAGCTTCCTGTTTTGAGAGTCCAAAACAAACCACCTCTTTTTGAATGGCTCATTTTGCTGTTAAAAAAAAACATGTAATGCTTCACAAGAAAATGTACTGGGTAAATTGTTACATTTTCTGCCCAAGCTTCAATTCCATAGCTCCTTATATCCATTCTTACAAAAGAGATAATTACATTTTCTGTGTGATTTGTGTGAGTATGTAAGAGGAACAAAAAACCCTCTCATTGTGTTTCTACTGTCACTAACAACACAACTAACTCTGCTAGTGAAGACTGTGCCTTGAGTGCTTTTCTCATTGCATGCGTAAGTCAAAGCTGCTTTCAAGTGCTGACAATATATATGTACAAATAAATCATATTTATATTTAATGTTTGGTTCTTTACCAACTTACCAATGGCCCTGTCTTTTCCATGTAGCCCTCTTTGAGGTAGTTTCTTGTTATCTTTGGTATCAGCTGACAGAGAGACAAAATGGTGTGTTAAGCTTTAAAACATAAAGCAAAAAGAGGCAAAAAGGTGTCTTTATTGCCATTGATTTCCACTGCATTTAGTGTGTTTTTTCATGCATGTTAATGTGAATCATCTTGTCAGTCATTATGGTTTTGAGAAGGTTTGATGCTTACTTCTGCATCCCTTCCAGTGGGGTACGCTGTCCTCAGGTATGCATAGCGAGCAGCACGAATAGCATTGTACCATGTCACTATTTCCTGGAGTAAAGGCACAGACACTAAGCTTTTAAAAATCAGTACAAACATTTCTGGCAACTGTTATTTATGCTTTAGATGATTATGCATTCCCACCTGAGGACTCTCGTGATAGACATAGAGGTTCCTGGTGTGATCGTCGTCTTGGTAGGTGATCTGCAGCCCATTGGGATGACCAATCTTCTCTGGTTGGAAAGTGGCATTTATGTCCTTGATGGAGATTAAAGCTTTAGGGCCTTTGGACTCCTGGATCACAAATAGATGTGCAGAGTTAGTAGTAAGGATAGAAAACCTTGATCAATAAAAACGCAACTCATTTGATAGAAATTGCGATATTAGTGATGGCAATGCTGTAGCCAGGCCAGTCCTACATTTTGGTCTGGACTGTAATAACGCAGCTGTACTTTGTTTTAGTGCAAATTAGCAAACCATAGCATGCTGAACACCAAACTGAGAAGTAAACATTTAACCTGCTAAAAATCTGCATGCTAACCATGCCTGAGAATGTTAGCATTTAGCCTGAAGCACTTCACTGCGGGTTAAAGGGATAGTTCCGATTTTTTGAAGTAGGGCGTTATGAGGAACTAAGGTTGTTTGTTTGTATTGTTAAGTGACTTGTTGTTTTAAAGGTTTAGTACGAATACACCAAAGTGCCGACTGCAATCTACTGTAGATATTACACTGCCTATAGATAACTCAAGCCCTCTTAAAAAAGAGCCAATCTATTCCTTTAAATTGGAAGAAATTATATCAATACAAATGCTTTTAGATTACACATGTAAGATATATTAAAATAGTGGTTTTATGTATGGCATACAGTGCAGATTAAATGTGTAAGAGCTGCAGGAAACACACATTTTCCTTGTTGTAGTAGGTCAGAGTAAATTCTCTCTCTGACAGTACGAACTTCCTCTTCAGAAACTGTGTGTTCCCTTTCCCTTTCTTCCAAAGCATCCCTTCATAGAAACCTGGTAATAAAACAAAAACAAAAAGTGTACAGGGTCAAAGATGAGGCAATACACCCGGGTCTTAAAATTATTAAAGTTTTGGTCAGGTAAACATATATAAAAAACTCTGTCCAGCTCTCACTTCCTGGCTGTTTTGTAATGCAAAGAACAGGTTTTTCTTGCACGGTTCTGCATGTGCATGAGGAACCATATTGTTCATTGTAGTGTAACGACAACAGGCTGATAAGGGCTTTTGTTCTGCAGTAGGCGTGTGTTTGAATCTGTGGAAACGTCACCTGTGGTGTAAGATAGTGGTGGATACTTGGTTTCTCCTGTGAATTCCATCCTTTCATATTTAGCCCGAATCCACTGCTCTTTTAAGACGCTGCGGTTCAAGAGACAGACATACAAATATTTTTAGACAGAGAAAACACACTTCTACAAACAGTGGCTATTATAAGCTGCAGTATCACTACAAGGAAATGAATCATTACGCTTTGAATTAGCAGCAGAAATGCATCTTCTACAGTGAGTTGCACTATTGTTATGGCATTGCATTGTCAGCACTTGGCACACATAATAAAATATTACATTTCTAAGACAGTTTTTGTAAAAAGTTACTTACACACAGTCACTTTCCTTGGGCTGATAGTAGTATGGTGGAACAGCTTTCTCGTACAAAGCTTGGTTTTTGGCATTGCCATTGGACTTCATGAACTTAATAAAAAAGACACACCTGAAGGTTACACTTGGATAGAGCCAGTTCACCTGAAGAATGAATATCTTATTGGAGCAATCATTTGAAAAGAAAGGCAGGGGGACATACCTCTACCATCTTATCATCCCAGAAGTCCAGCTTTATGGATTTGACCCGGCTGGACAGGCTGCGGTGGATGCCAGAGCAGTTCAGACACACAAACACACCCAGCGTGGAGGAAGCCCACTCTGGATCTGAGGTGTGCAGAAGAAGTGGGACTAACATTAAACACTCAAGGCCAGATTGTCCTGGCTTTTACGCTGTTTTTCTTTACTGGAATAGCCTATGTCTTTTAAATCTGTTCTTAATACTTCATCTTATTGTTTTCTTAACTGATGTAATCTATTTATCATGTTTTACATCTTGTACATGTGTTAAGCTGTATTGTGGTTTTATTGTTTTTTTTAAGATTCTGATGTTATGAAGATATTATTACTATCAAGTACTTGAATGAACAAAAGAAAGTGGTTTATGCACGACACTTTATTTTGTATGCTACACGTGGACTTACATCATGCATCAGTGTGCATTTTCCCATACAACATTAGAGTAAATCAAACTACCACAACAGTGGCTTTTGCCCACTTTCCCTGGTTGGTAAATCAGCCTTGTTTGCATTTACATAAATCAGTCACCTGACAATAACACAACTGTAGCTTTGAAATATCAGATTTAAGCTTACTTTTTTTCTTCTTATCTAAAGGGTGTTGGCTCTGTGCATCTTACATTTAAATATTTGAAATAAGCTTATAATATAGATAAAAAATCGTGTAATGTGTGTTAATATAACAGTGACATGTTGCTTACCAGGAGCCCCGCAGTCCGCGCACCGGCTGTTGTCCGGCAGCTTTATAAATTCCAGTAAAATATTTTTGTTCCGCTCATGGTTTGCCATTTTGGTATAAGGTCACGGTCTCGACTAAATTTCGACAAAGAATCGCGTTTTCTAAACTAAACATGTTGCTCACATGGTTTTACGCGCGGCAAAATGCATCTGAAAACTGGAACATGTGACAGATAAGAAACGTTTTGAATGTTAAAACACGAAGCAGGTGCAGACCTGTTTACCTTTCTGTCACTGGGGGTTGTCCTTTAATAGATTATCTCTCCGAGTCTTTGCGGAAACCGGTCAAACCACTGCAGTGAATTTACAGGCTTTGCGCATTTAGCGTAATAAACCATTTGAGCCTGCCTCCAAAATACCATCCACCGTTCAGTCTCACTGAATCATCCCAGGAGTCACTGCAGGACAATAGAGTAACACCTTTAACCGTAGACTGAGTGAAGTTTGTACGTGTAACTAAAGTACCATGAACTTTACCAACTTGATTTATTTTAGTTTAATCTGATATTTTCAACATGTAAATGAGAAATTGTTATCTTGTCAAACATCTTAACATTTGATGAAGATAGGTTAAACATTTTACTGTAGTTTGTTGAATTATTAGGACGTTTTTTTGCAGAAGGAATTTTTTTGTATACATAGATCAGAAAATACTATCAACAGCCATGTTTTTATGAAGCAAATGTTCAATAATTAAGGGTTTAAAAGATGTACTGTATGAACAAAACCTTCAGAATATAGATAGAAATGGAGCTGGAAAGTTTGTGCTATTTTGGTGGAGATTTCTTCCTCAAAAAGTATGAGAAAAAAACTAATTCGGAGAAATAAAGTTAAAAATACTCATCTTCTTGAAAGTCTTGCAGTTCATTAGTTGTATTAAGACAACAAATGTTTGCATTGCAAGCTTTCGGAAATGTTATATTTATATATGCAAATGCATGTCTAAAGCTGACTTTTGGCGATTTTAGGAAAGATTTAAAGACGCAAATAAACGAAGTTAGTAAAACAAAAATGTAATAATGTAATTGTAATGACTTTTCTCCACTTTTCTAACCCTAACAATTGACCAGTGCATGAAACATGTTGTTGACTGTATCATCTCACCTCAAGCACATACAGAGATCTATTTATTGAGTTGTTATAAACCTTTATTTGGTCACAACAAAAATCCACTGTGAATGTGTACATATTTAAGGTTAAAAAACAAGCAAAAAATAACAAATTAAAAAAAGTCACTGTGTGAAGGTGATGTAGGTGAACTTGTGTGGAGAATAACAATGTATACCATCCTTTACAACCTCTATTTTACATGTGAATCCAATACAAATCTTCAATGAAACATATTTGCGCCTCAAAAGCAATTTCCAAAAGAAAATTATAAATGAGGCTTCTACGAATAAAACACAACTGTACAAAAACACACCGCTTAATATTACAAACATTATATAAAGTAGAACTCTTTAGTGCATTCTAAAGATGTGACAACATTTGAGGTGATTTAGCTGTGCGCCCTTCAGGTGAGAATACATGTTCTGTATTCAGTGATTCAGTCATTTCCATCTTGGAATACATATGTGGAAACCTCACCCGGCATCCATTGTGCGCACACACCTCTGACCAGGTCCGAATCATAAGAGACAAAGGGGCAGACACAAAAAACAAAAGTGTTCCAATTAAATAGCCAATTCATATGGAGCTTTCCCCTCAGTGGTTCAGGGGAAGTCTTCAGCCAGGAGCTGCAGAGTTCTCTTGTCTAGACCGAGGTTGATCGCCTCCAGGTAGTGCAGGAACCTAGAGGAGGGAAAAAACTGCTTAGTCTTCTGTTTACACTTTAACACATGTATTTGTAGTCCGTCAGTTATATGCACTTTGTGTCAAAATCAAATCCTACATCATAACTTTAAACCAAGCCCCCAGGAAGTGTGCCGGACACCAAGGCAAATATTCGTAGTGGCCTAAACAGCAGTAACTTGTGTCAGTCCGTGACGTCACTGGGCCCAAAAACACTTTCTCCCGTTGAGTTACATTGGGAAATCAGTATAACGTTTTTTTTTAAACTAAATAAACGACCCAGTTAGAACACTTTTATAGCCCTTATTTATATCATTAGGTTTTAAAAGTTGTAAAATGCGCTAAAAGCTGAATCCAGATTTATTTTCTCTCTCCATTCATGCTACTAAGCCGAGAGCGGGAGATCAGAGGCGGGGCTTAATGGAAAACTCAACTGTGCATGCTCTATGAGCGCACATACGGGTATTTGTGCTCTCGACAGCCAGGCATGATGGGTAATTTGTGAGGTTTTGCTCTCAACAGCGTCAGGCCATTTTGTCTTCATGAGCCGGAGCAGTTCTCATAGGACTGAATGAGGCCCTACCTCCGTCGTATTCAGTTCTTAAAATACATCCATGCTTTAAACCCAGACCCTAGTGCTTTTGGCCAAGTACATAGCTTATTATTGTTTTTGCATGCTCACCTTCGTTTAACCTTGCCCTGCTCCTTCAGCTGCTCTGATCTGCAGACGGTGCGGAGGGCGGGTAAATAATCCAGAGCAGCGGCTGGTCTGTTTCCCAGAGTACCAGAAACTCCTCTGAACATCAGACTGTCCATCACTTCCCTCCTCCGCTGGGCCATCCTGGAACACATCGAAACACTTTATCAGCCTTTGAACTTCTTATGCATGAGTCTATGTTTGACGATCTATGGTTACATTGTGGCGTTGAAGCCCAAAACAATTAAGTATATCTTATCTTAACTGGTCCTTATGAGCCCCGCAACCCCTTCTGTAGCTTTGAAAATAATCTTTTATTTTTTCCCCACAAAAATAAGTTAAATAACACATCATATCAAGACATTTTAAAAACATCAACAGATGTCCCTGAACTAATCTTTGGAGACAAGCACTTCAGCAGGAGAAGTAACAACATATAAGATTACCCGGAGCAAAGACGAGAGGATGCAAGTATAGCTTTTACAAATATATATAGTTATACACTTTAGACATGGTGAGATCTCAATATTTGGGAAAGGCAAAGTGAAACATTTGTATTTATTATTTTTATGATTTATGGCATTACAACTATTATTCTAAAGACATTTTTGAGATATCCCCATTTCTAGCTGTTATTTAGCTGTTTCCTTAAGGAGTTGTATATTTTTGTGAAAAGGGTTCAGGGTTAGCTTTAGGGCTCAGAGGTTTAACTGGTTGGGGTTAGAATTTGTTCATTCAGTGACCAATGTCGACCTTGACCATGTTGACTACGCCACAGTGGGGCTGTGCGATTAAACAATTATCCATTTACTTTGAAAACATCCATTTATTGAAAAAGAAAAATTGAATAGTATGTTTTTAACAGTTGATTACCCTGGACTTTAAGTATAATTCAACTGAAAAACCAATAAAAAAAATAATTAAAAAAAATAAATAATTACATTTATTATTTTTTTTAATAAAAAGAATAATCGTTTTATTTCGATTACGTTGTTTTCGTAATCGTTGCAAGCCAAAATCGAGATTAAAATACGATTAATTGCACAGCCCTACACCACAGTGCATTAGTTTATAAAAAGTTGTGAAATGACAAGCATCACTCACTGTGGTTGACAGGGGCCGTCCTGGGTGAAGCTGTAACCCTCACAATGAGCAGCTACAGGCAGGGTGAGCTCTGCCGCCGCCTGCTCTCCCAGCTCCCCCTGCAGCTGCTGGGCTTTCCTCCAGGTCTCCACTGCTGCGGCCCGACACCTGTTGAAGCTCAGAGCCTCCACAGCGGCAGAGATCTCCATGATGCGCTCTGCTCTCATCCAGCTCTCTCTGTCAGACTCCAGCCGCGACTCCTCGGTCATCCCGTCTTTCAGCACCGCTCCCAGCGAGGACATATTTCTGCGCTCGTCACCCCCAACAAGCAAGGAGTCCATGTACGACATGTTGTCGAAAAAGTCAGCTATTGAGTCTAGACACTGCGAGACGGGGAGACTTTTTAGCCGCTCCTCAGGAGTCAGAGGCTTTCTCTTCACCTTCTGGGAAACCAAAGTCTCCTTGACTTCCTCCTTCGCTTGAGGAGCGCCCTGCGGCTTGCAGAGGGATAGAAAATCGTCTTCTGACTCCGAGTCGGAGTTCAGTCCGTCCCTTTCAGGTAGACAGTGCCGCTTCTTGTTCTTCTTCATTCTGTTGGACATCTTCACTGGACTGCTGTCTTCGGAGCAATCTGCAGACTCTGAGGTTTGTAGTAACCTGGTATGTGATGGCAGCTCTTTTGGATCAGCAGGATGTTCTTGTGCTGCAGAGACAGATGGCTCCGGTTTGTATGTGGAGGTAGTCAGCTGTGTGTGTGGTAGAGGTAAGAGAGTCTCCATGTTGGAATAGAGCAGGTCCACTCCTCGATGCTTGCAGTTAGTCAGAAGCTCCCAGCGTAACGTCTCCTCGCCCGGACCCTGTTGACAACACATACAGGGTGAATCAAGGACTCAACTTGGTACATGTTCTTCATCTAAGCAGTGTTTGTGGTAATGTAATGTTTTACCCTGAGCAGCTCCCACATGTCTCGCTCAGGCTCCACATTCAGAAGACCCAGCATGCTCTCTGTGCAGCCGCTTTCACAGGGAGGGAGAGTCACGCCTGCTGCCTCTTCATCAGCCTCTGGCTTTAGCTCTGCGAATGAAGCGGAAAAATAACATCAGGTTAAAAAAAGTCGTTTATAAAAATGATAACATATTCTATTGTATTGCACTTTTTCTACACAGCGGTTTACAAAATGACAAGAGAGATAGAAATCCAATTATGCTGTAAAAAAAATACTAAATATAAAACTGTCACGGAGAAACAATACAAGTCAGTTCAAATCTCAAAATCAATAAAAGACCTGTTGCTGTGCGGATTGGGACCTTCAACTCAGGCCATGGTAGCAAATGCTTGGTTGTAAGTCTAGACTTTGGTCAACAGAAAAAGCTCTTCTGTTCTATTTTACTTTGTGTTTGTAGCTAATCAGTTTATTGCTTTGCGAGTGATTTAAACGATTTTAGGCGGTGAGTGCAGAATAGGTAGTTATACAGAAGGGATGGAAAAGCCTATCTCCCTCCTGATCAAGAAGAAAGATTAATGATATTTTGACACACTCGAAAATAAATAGAGCTCACCACTTTTGCCAGTGTGTGTCAGTGGCCTGGTCAGGTGGCGGCCTCCTGCGCTGCGTGTCCAGAACTGCAGCTGCAGTAAACTCTGCCTGATGTCGCATCCGTTGAGTCTGAGCAGAGCGCTGATGTCCGGGACGTCTGTCCTCACGTCCTCCGTCAGACACAACAGCTGCAGGAAGCTGCTCACATCCAACTGCACCAGGGAGAGAAGGACCAATACATAACTGACTGGTGCACAAACACTACATACCTCTGACCTCTCATACTTTATTTGCATCAATCAAATCAAAAAAATTATATTTGCAGATTACTCCGGCTAACAAATATTGGGTATTCCCAGAATCAATTAATTTTTTTAGTAATAACTTCCCAGTTTGTTTATTTATTTAATATTGTTTACATTACTTTTTATCTTCTTATTTCTTTTCATCGTTATGCGGTTGAATTATTATTTCAGCCCTAGAAATTGCCTTGTAATATTTGTATTGGTGTATATGAGTGCATTTGTGTACTTATACACCTGAACATATGGTGCTTATGTATATTCTGTGTATGTGTGAACATATGAATGTAAAAAAAGTAACTTGAAAATAAGTGTTCACAATGTTTATATGCATATATTATTATTATTTATTTGCCAAGTACATGTGTACATATATATATTTTTATATATAGTATTTTCCTTTTCAAAAAAGATAGTCAACTGCTATGGACATGTGCAAAAAATGACCCTATATCTAGTTTTCATATATATATATATATATATATATATATATATGCATTTATTAATTTTTTCCCTAACCTCCATTAATTTTTTTCCCAGTTTTCTTTAATTCTTTGTACTCCTTAATTTCTATACGTTTTTTACGCAATAATGCCAATGTTATATTAGGATGATTCACGGGAGGGCTACTTCCCATAAGCTATGCTTCAGCCCTCCCGCTTCTACTAATTTTGTTTATCTTTGTGTGTATGAATTATATATTTTTCTTTTTTGGATGAATTATTAGAAAAAATATATATATATATAATAATATTTAAATAATTAAATACAAAAATTAAATCACCACATTCAGTGAATAAGCCAAAAAAAAAAAACACGGTTTAGAAATCATCCACTCACCATTGAGGGTGTTTTGAAAATAATCTCTTCAAAGTCGCCATCGAACATGGAGCTGAAAGCAGGATCTACAAAACAGGCAGGATTAGATTTGAACTCAGAGCGTAAATAAATAAACACAGAGCAAACTGCGAGTCATTTGACCTTTCTGCTTCTACTCACCGCTGGTGGTGAGGATAACTGGCCGCTTTGTAGTCGTCATAAAAGTCTTGATGGCAGCTAGAAACCCTGAGTCATCGTCAAAAATAACATCCACTTCTTCAAACAGGATCAGCGAGGTGGCCGTCTTCTTGCTCTGTTCTTCACTGTTCTTCTCTTTAGGGGTGGTAGCTGCTGGTGAATCCACCGCAGGGGCTTTGGGCTTGATGGCACATTCTTTTGCTTTGATGACTTTCTTGGAAGCAGCTATATGAAAAGATGGAGGAGACAGAGGAAGAAATGGCAAACATCTTATTATTAAAGTGCTGATAACTTTTCATGAAGGTTAAATCATCATATAAGTCAACAATTGACACATTGAAGGTGAAATGTACCCGTTTGTTCATTCTTCTTGGTGTTGGGTGTCTCCACATCGGTGGGTCGACCCATTTTGAAGAAGTTAGCTAAGGAGGTTGGAGCCAGGTTTCCTTTCCGAGCAACTCTTGGGGACTGTGGATGTTTCCTGGGAGAGGAAACCACCCTGCGAGGAGAGTTAAACTTTCCTGGAAGAAAAAAGAAAATAATCATTGATCAACTTCCAAAAGTTTGTATTCATTATATTACTTCAACAATCAATATAGTAACTAATATATCATTTTAGTTTTTTTCTGTAATGTATCACTACCGAAAAAGGAGATGAGAAGATTACCCGTTAACTCTTGTGACATTTAGGGACTTTTCGTTTATAGCTTCACAATGAATACCGACTGTTTGTCGCATACAGCCTATTGGTGTAAAGTTAAATAACAAATCCATAATATAAATATAGCATTAGATAAAATGCCATTCAACTAAGCTCTTCAGCTCCGGTCTGATGCTAACCAACTGGGTTGTTTTCTTCCGAGTTTTCTCTAAAAGTGCACTCAAGTTGATTCCCAAATCAAATCATTTTTAAACTGTATGGTCATTCTCAAAGTTTCCCAAAATGTGCATAAAACACAACCGCCCAAATCCTTTAGACCCGGTGCTATAAACGTGAGTGTCTGTACGTACTGGGCGAGGATCCAGGCTTGAGAGGGCCAGTGCTGCTGCTTGTGCTGTAGCTGTTGAAGTAGGTGGGCTTGTGTGCGTTGACCCCCTGACTGTCCACCTGGTGAGACTGAGTGGCTTCCTTCAGCTGGGACAGGATCAGACGGCCGCTGCGCTGAGACGAAGCATTCACCTCAAACACCTTGGAAGACCAGAGAGGACGTTAGGAAGTGAAGACAATTCTTTCACAGATGTTACAGTTGTGTACTTTGAAGCTTCTGTACCTTGAAGCCCAGCTCCTGGGCACAGGCGTAGACCGCTGCAGTCTTCCCTACTCCAGTGGGTCCGGTGATGATCATCGTATTACACAACGTGTCCTCTCCTTCCTGAGAGTCCTCCTCTCCGCAGTCCCACTCCGAGTCTGGACACAAAGAGCCATCATGCAGTCAGCACACCCATCCACCAGAGAGAAGTTAGGGGAACAAATGATCTAATCTCCTACCATTTCCGCTTTCCTCCCGTTTCTTCTCTTTCTGATTTTTTCTCTCTTCCCGATCTGCACGAAGTTTCCATCCCTTCAGCCAGCTGTACATAAGAAAAAAAAAACATGTAATATTAACCCAAAGTTCCTGAGACAATAACAAAAGTGGTCTCACACACATATAGTGCAAACTTGTGTAACTTGCAGTTACAATGAAAGAGCTACAGTTTAAAGTAGGGATGCTCCGATCGATACTTACTCTCTGCCGATCGATCGGTGCTCTCTAAAAATGCCGATCGCGAGAGCCGATCGCATAACGTAAAATGATGACGTAAAATACATGACACTTTTCTCTGTGCGCGGCAAAACAAGCTCGCCAAAATGGCTTCACCAGTCTGGCAGTATTTTAAGTGTCTGAAAATGACAATAAAATAGCGGTATGCAACGTGTGTGAAGCAGAAATCCTGCAGCTCCACCCGCTGTGACGGACCGGTGAGCGGAGCAGAACACACATTAAGAGTTAGACCTAACACACTTAGCTATTTGATCTACCTCTGGAACAAGCTAAACTAGTTATATATATATATATATATATATATATATATATATATGTATTCTTCACTGTTGGGTCACTCATTACTGGATCAGTGAGCTGCATGAGATACTGACAGGCTGTCAGGAGGGAGAGAGAAGGGGAGAGAGGAAAAGAGAGCGCTTCCGTTCATTTCTCCCGTGTTATTATCCAAAGTTAATGTAAACTTGAATAATGTACTTCATTTGAATGTAATAATTATGTTGGTTGTTGTTTGTGGAAGCACCAGTGAATGAGCCCCATTAACTGAGTTTTAAACATCACTTTAAATGGAAGATCCCCATAGGCCCCGCCCACTCAGGATCGGATCGGCGATCTGTATCGGCCGATACTGATTCCGGCGAACGGCCCCAAAATTGGCGATCGGAGCATCCCTAGTTTAAAGCAAATACAGTGTTTACTGTTCTTTAGGGCTGTTCAGCCTAGTTTGAAGCTTCATTCAAAACATGCGTTATCTGCACAGTCAACAAAAACTGCTCTCCCGCTTAACAAATACAAATAGAGACAGACAAGTTATATTCATAAATGTTCAAAGATCTTTAATTGTGAAAACGACGTAAATATGAAATTCAAAGTTCAATTTGAAATCATTAAAAGCTTAAAATGTAAAGATAATAGTTATTTAGTCAAATGAAAGCAGTTTTATCTCCTCACCTGTGCAGCCTCCTCACTGAGGCGGTGTTGCCGATGATGTCACTGGAGTGCTGGGGCTGATATTTGTCCGTCCAGAGCACGTCCTCCTTCATCACATCTGTTCAACGAATCATTGGTTAATTACTGACAACAGCCAATGAAGTGTACAGACAGCAACTGGATCAATTCAGCACCTATTTTAATAATGAGCACACAACTGATCTCCTTATATGTATGAAAGTTGTCATGTCAGTAACACATTTTAAACAAAAGTAACTATTTTCTATCTACTGAACTACACACGACAATAAATGAGCTCAGGCCTCTTCTTCCTTCCTAGGGTTCCAGGTGTTGTTTGGAAAAAGAAAATAGTTCTTATATGAAATAATTTAACCAAGGTTTCAAGGATTACTTTGAGTAACAGGGTCGTGATTTCTGGAAAGAGACACTGCTTTTCAAATGTGTGTGTGCCATTTTGTTCCATTAAAAAGTAGGCAGACATCTCAATGGCTGATATCTACCACATCTGGAAACTCGCACCAAAACAATCTAAACATAAAAATAGCAATACAGGTAAGAGAAGGATTTTTTCTTTCTCCCATGGATTGATTTTCTGTATTATGTAGATCCTAAGGTTTGCACACTGAGTAGATAGAGATATCATTCAATCAAATTGGGGAGACCATGAAATGTAGTAGCTCACCTTTTTTCCCAGCGCTCTCTCCGACAGGCGAGTCACCGACCTCAATCACAGAGTCATCTACAGACGGGGAGGCAGCACCTTTGGCTGAAGGCTTTGAGTTCTCATTCGCCGCGTCCTCTGTCCTCGATCTCTGAGCTCGTCTCGGGCGTCCTCGTCTTTTCGTTGGCTCGGGCTCCGAAACGTTTTCCTCGGCACAGTTGGCGCGCTGCTTCTTGGCCAGCTTGGCGGTCGTTTCCCCCTCATCATCCCTCCTCTTCCTCTTCCCTACTACTGGTTCAGCGGGCGGTGTGGTGCTGGAGACTCTGGTTTCAGCTTCAGGGTCTAGTTAGTGACATGCACAGGATGTTGAGAATCATTTAGATTGATGTACTTATTTTGGCTCATTTGTAAACATGAATTGAACTGATTTGAAAATGTTGATATATGTAACATTCATGAACTTTCAAGAAACTGTTCTTTCTGTGGATGCAGAAATACAGGGTCAATACTTAATGCAGTCAAGATGTTACGTGACGTCAAGCTTTAACCCAGCCTGAAATAAACTGTTACTGCAACCTGATGCTTTGAAACTCAACATTTAAACTCTCAAGTGAATGAACTTCCTGTCAGACTGACCTGAGGCCGTGCACTGCTGCTGGTGGTCAGCGCGTCTCTTTAGGAAGCGAGTGAGGAACATCTCAACATCGAAGGAAGGGTTAGCGGTGCTGATCTCCTCCGTTAGAAGCCGACGAACACTTTCAGAGATCTCAGGCCTCCAGCCAGAACCCTTCAAAGAACAAATGTACTTTTATTTAATACTGGGTCTGCTGGTTAACACCACTGTAGCTGGATGGATAAAAAGTTATAATCAAACAACACTACAAAGCACAAAACACACCCATTGTAGACAAATAAGCATTTAAGCCTTTTAAATTCTTTGTAAAAACAACACAGCTATACTTGCTGAGAGGTAGTAATTTTAAACCAGATATAAATACAAATAAATACAGCATACCCGTTGACAAAAGGCTCTTGGGTCTGGTTGTGTCTTCACACAGAGGGAGCCGCTCACAGGTGGAGGGTTTGATGTTTGGCTCCAAAGCTCTTTCAGGTGACACAGTAACGAAGACTCGGGCCATAGTAAACTCCAAAGAGGGCAGTCTGTCAAAACACAACAAAAACAGGTTTTAATCGTCCCTGTCTTGATTCATTATCAACTTACCAGTCATTATTAACAAAAATAATAATATATTAAGTCATATATGTAAGTAAAAGCAGCAATATTACAGTGTAGACATTTTCTGTTGCAGGTTAGAGTCCTGCATTAGAAAGTATTATCGTCAAAATGTATTTATAGCTACAAAAGTAAAAGTATTTGCACAAGCACTTGAGCTTTTGGATAAATGGCTCATTTCAGAATAATGTATATTATATAATTGAATTAAAGTCATCAATACTTTAATATGTTGCAGCTGGTGAAGGTAGGGATATTTCTTTAGGCTTGTGATGTCTACAAAGAGATCATTTGAATGCAATTGTAATCTGTACAAATAAATCATGATGTAAATTATGTTTTGCATTATTAATCTGAACACTCAACACATATAAGTTATCAAATAAATAATGTGAGGTGAGATTAAAATGTGTCTCTGAAATGCAGTGTAAGAAAAGTCAAATGGAGATGAAAACCTTTGTATGTCTGTGAAGGAACAGCTCACCTTGTGGTTGTTGCTGGATGTGAGTAACAGTCTGAAAGGAGGAGCAGGACAGCGAGTAGGCCTCTCTGGTTGACGTTGTCTTGGCGATCTGTTTCCTGAAGGTCTCGGGCAGACCGCTCTTTAAGAAATCTCTGCGCGCCCTGAACTGCTCGTCATCCTGGGAGTTTTCAGAGCCGCTCTCATCAAAGATGGAAATCACTGTGGGGACCTTCTTCTCTTGGCCCAGCGCGGCCCCTTTGGAGCCTTGGAGGAAGAAAATACCGCACCATTAGAAGACATTTCTATTGTTTGTGGTAAAGGTGATATCACAGAGAGCACAAAGTCAGATATTTGTAGGCTGCCATATTTGAGAGCTGTGACTCAGTATTTTTGTTTGATGATCTTCCCTTCCAGGAGTATATATGTATACCCTTCCTCATACAGGTGTAACACATCCACACTCACCTATACTACCCACTTATAAAACGGACAAGTCAAATCAAGCAATCTGATTGGTTCTTAGCCGTGATATAATGAGCGTACATCACAGGTAGAATTGTAGTTACTTTTCAGTATCCCTCCGCGTCTGAGAAAAGCTACAACCGTTACAACTGTTACATTAAGTCCGTTACGAAACTAACTAACTAACTAAGCTTAAGATGGAAACATTTAAGGTTAACTTCGACCTCCGGGGTGGCCTTACTATGGAGGAGTGGATTGAGGAGTGCCTATCTCCAGAAAGCACCTAAACGACGACATGCAGAGCTACGTGAAGAGCAGGTAGACCAACTGGAAAAGTATCACCATTCAAAAGCTTTCTGATGCGGGTCTTGAAACAAAGCAGAGAAATTATGACCGTTAGTGGCCACAGGTGCGAAAGCTCTCTCCAGAGCTACTGGAAGCCGAATCTCGGGGACCGGAGAAAGTGGAGCAATATTCTCGCCACGCCAAGCAACAGCCTAGAACAACCTCAGCCTATACAAGTAACCACGTAAGCTATTCTACTGATGCTGGATTTTTTCAGTGGGTGCACAATAAATGGCAACATACAAATGAATGTAAATAAATAGCCAAATAATGGATCAACGTTCTCTGTCTAATATGTTCGCTAGCTGTTAGTGTTGTAACCACGCCCCTTAGCTGTGATATAATGACCATATACCACGGCCAGTCGTGAGCTATTGCTTGTGCCACATGTGTACGGCCTACTTACCTACCAATGTGTCATCTTTCCTAGATTGTACTTGTTACATAAGGCCAGCCCAAGCTTTATGAAAACTCTAAACATAAGGATCAACTGAGTTTATATTTCTGCAATTCCAAACAAGAAAATAAAAGGACTATGAAAAGTCATTCGAGTAATACAAAGTGTGTTGCTTAAGGTTATACGTTTGGAACATGTTCTGATGCTCAAAGAATGAGTAAAGTTTTGGATGAAAATATGAATTAGATGATTACACACCAATGTTTCCAAGTCGGTGGTTATGGATTCAGCCACTTTCTGGTGGTTGATTTTGTATTCAGAGAGATTTAAAAAAGAAAAGCTGAACAGAAAATGGTGATTCAAATACGAAAGACTACCTGGGCTAGTCTTGGCAGATGAAGCTTTCCCCAGAACTTCATTCAGACTCCGTAAATGCTTCTTGCTTTTACTCTTTTCTTTTGGCGTCTGAGGAGTGACCGTCTGTTCGTTCTCCACGCAGATGACAGAGTTCTGAAACGACAAACATAAGAAAAACAAGTGAATACACAATTGTCTCATTGTGGAAGTCCCTAAATGGCCCAAGTGTTTATGTACAGCTCATGGGGCGACTGTTCAAATATGATCAAATGAGCTTATTACGTTTACAAATCCCAAATAAGAGTGAAACACTTATTCTACACCATGCCTTATTAAGCTGCTTTGCCATTGAGGGTTGTGTGATTGCACATGCTTCATATTGGGCTAAAATGCACTTTCTCAAAGGAAGGACAACCGATAGTGCTAAAAGATTTGATGGTGAATAATAAATTGTGCATGTTTCAACAGGGTCAATGTAACTGTAACAAGGTTGCTACCCTAATGTGTGCTAGTCTGTATTTATGCATTCATGTTAGGGCTGCTCGATTATGGCAAAAATCATAATCTCAATTATTTGGGTCAATAATTGATATCACGATTATTAAAAACGATTATTCATTTACTTTGAAAACATCCATTTATTGAAAAAAAAATGGAACAGTATGTTTTTAACAGTTGATTACCCTGAACTTTATTCAAGTATAATTCAACTGAAAAACCAATAAAAAAATAAATAATCGTTTTATTTCGATTATGTTGTTTTCATAATCGTTGCAAGCCAAAATCGTAATTGCCATTAAAATACGATTAATTGAGCAGCCCTAATTAATGTGCAATTGAAAAATGGAAAGATAATACACAATGTGAAATAATCAAAAGATGCTGTTTATCTGATCATCATCGTCATGGCGTCATTGACTCTTCATGTATATATTACATATGTTAGACGCTTTTATCCAAAGCGACTTACATACTCAATACTGTGGGCAATCCCCACAGGAGCAATTCGGGGTGAAGTGTCTTGCCCAGGGACACAACGACATGCTGACTGCAGTGGGACTCGAACTTGCTACCCGCTGATTCAAAGTTCGGCGCACTAAGTTCAGCGCACTATTCCACTGAGCCACAGCCTCCCACATATATAATGTAAACCATCCCCTTCACTACAGTGATTCATCCTGTGGCCTTTCACTGTACCTCGTCTTCACAGTAGATCTTCTTGTCGTAGGAGGCGGCCTCAGTTCGAGACGAACGCCTTAAGGTGACCTTCTCCTTGACGGCAGTTTTTTTACTCTGCTGAATCACTTTGGCTTTCTTCACCAACTTCTTTGCCTGCTTCCTTGTTTTAGAGTCCTTTGATGGCTGAAAGAAATAAAACCATTCCTTCATCATCTACAGCCCACATTAAAAAAATATTCAAATGTGTTTTTCCATTTGGTAATAAATTCATTAAGTTTATTGATCTGTTAAAAAAAACACAATTGTACTTACTTTAGTAGCTAAAGAGGTGTTGGTGCTACTTTCACTGTCAGCCTTGGACTTGGGAACATTTCTATGGACTCTGGTAAATCTAATCCTTTTGAAGAAAACAACATTGAATTAAAACGTAAAAAAACCAGCAATCTTTAAAAAAAACATTACCACACATATTAGGGCTGCTCGATTATGGCAAAAATCATAATCTCGATTATTTGGGTCAATAATTGATATCACGATTATTAAAAACGATTATTCATTTACTTTGAAAACATCCATTTATTGAAAAAAAAAATGTGAACAGTATGTTTTGAACAGTTGATTACCCTGAACTTTAAGTATAAATCAACTGAAAAACCAATACAAATTATTTATTTTTTTAAATAAATTTAAAAAAATTATCGTTTTATTTCGATTATGTTGTTTTCATAATCGTTGCAAGCCAAAATCGTAATTGCGATTAAAATACGATTAATTGAGCAGCCCTAACACATATGCATAAACACACCTGGAACAGAAAAACACAACAGTCTGTTGATAAATGCTATATTTATGAAGGTTATGATGTTCAGTGTTAGCACAAACTGTGTTTAAGAAAGATGTTTACGTTATGTCGTTTTTAGTGCTGCTCAATTGTATTTGAGTGATAAGTGTTTCTATAATTGTTCTATTCTGTCTATACAATGAGAGTACTCTAAACAACAGAAACACTTTCCTGTATGATCCAATATTATTCAACAGCACCACACACTCCATCCTTAAGTGATCATGCAGTTGAATCTAGACCTCTTTAAAACAGTTTCAATAAGAGACCAAACATGACAACCTTCGGTTACAGGTGTGTATAAATGCATGTGTAACAGTATATACAATCATAAATAAATCATCCTCATTCACCTTATTGGACTTTCTTGTGTGTCAGGTGAGCACACAACCTCCGATAAGAAGACTCCATGTTTGGACTTGCGTGTCTTTGAGGTGGAAATATGTGCAGGGCTGTCCGCAGGTAAAGCAGCAGCCGCATCCTTTGACTTGTTTCGTTTCTTGGTTTTCCTGATAGGGGATGTTGGGGGGGCTTCGGGAGTTTGCCTTACTGCCCCCTCTCTCCTGGATCTCCTCGCTTCTGGGACGGAGGGAGTTGAAGTGATGGGAGGCTCATCATCAACCTCAACAACTGTGGCCGCTGTTTCTTCAGCAGCAGGTGGAGCATCCTTTCCTTCTTTAGCTTTCTTTCTGCCTTTCCTTGCTTGTTTCTTTTTAGCCACTTTATTTTCTTGCATGGCAGCAGGCACTTGCTCAGCAGAGGGTGGAGTTACTTCTTCAGCAGCTTTGTCTGCATCATCCGCAGCTTTCTCTCCAGCTTGCTTCTGCTTGCCCTGGCTCTTTCCAGGCTTGCTTTTGGACCCATCCAGACCGGGCTGTTTGAAGGCAGCCATGAACTGCTTCTTCACTGCCTCGCTGCTCCGTGGTGTGGATTCACTCTCGATCACAGCCAGCTCCAAGTCTTCCTCTTGAAGAACCACGTTAGATTTACGCTTGACAGTCAAAGAGGCAAAAGGAAGTTGGTGTCCGGACTCTGTGTGAGGAGACGATACAACCTCTGCAGGGCTCATCTGACCTTTTCTCCTGTTGAAGATTGTAGCTAACTTTCCTCCTGCCTTGGCTACTTGGTGTTTAGGTGAGACTACATGCACCTCTGCCTGGATGGTGACAGTTCTGGGCGAGACATGGAAAGGTGACACTCCTGAAAGAACATTTTCCTCTGCTTTAAGGATCTCCATTTGGTCAGAGACTATTCCTTCTGCCTCAGGTGTGATTTTACTTGCATCTTCTTTGTCCTCTGCACCCTTCCTCTTGTCCTGGTTCCGCACAAATTCCTCAAAGGAGACCGTGACAGTGCTGTGGTTTAACTGAGAGGCCTCATCCAAATTGACCTCCATACTAACATCACACAAGGAGCTCTCGTTCTCCTCTGGTTCTGAGTGCTTTGCCTTCTTAGTATTCCGTGCCACAGTTTTGACTCGTTTTGCTTTATCTTTTGATGGTAAAATTGGAGATAATTCAATACCAATCAGTTCCAGATTAGGTTTGACACCGTTTCCACATTTGGAACCATCTTCTTCAGCCTGCTCAACACTGACAGTCTTAGTGGTATTACTCTCTGATTCCCCCCCAGTGATACAGGCCTCAGCACTAAGCTGGGCGATCAGGGCCGCTGTATCACTGCCAAGAACACCACAGCTGCTGATGGCTTCTGATGCCGAGTCTCTGATTTCATGTTGTTCTTCTACAATCAGGCAGCTTGGTTCCTCTGTAAAACTTATGGTTTCAGCCTCCACAAGTTTTCTTGCAACTTTGCTGGCCTTTCTAGTCCGTTTCTGTGATGGCTTTTTCACTGCTGCCTCTGGGCTGGTGTGTTTTTCAGCAGGTTGAGAAGTCCGACAGTTCTCTTTTGACAGTTCAGGTGAGCTGGTCTTTTCTTTCGAGGACGGAGCTTTACGGTTAAAGTAGTCCATGATGTTGTTGGAGCGCGGAGGTGAAAAGGGTTTCTCCTCAGGCTTGGGCACAGGAGAGAAGTAGTTTTTGATCGTCTTGACAACAGGACTGCCGCCATCTTTGTGAGATTTCTTGCAAGGCTGTAAAAGGAGTGACAAAATGATCAACTACATAATGCAAAAGGAAATAATAAGAACACTTCCCAAAAGCTGCTTTGCATTTTAGATATGGGACAGATCTGTGTCATAGACATACCTGGGTGTCAAAGTCCTCAATGACAGATGCCATAGCCACAACACCAGCCATCATTTGAAGAGACCTAAATCAAAAGGGAAATACTGTTATGTGCTTGGAGAATAAAGCAGAGAGGAACTCTAATTATATTCAAATTAGTACAGTGGTCTAAATCCCATGCCATTAAAACGAGTTGCCCTGAGAAGTTAGGAAGCTTTATCAAAAGTAACACGGCAATTATTATTATTATTATTATTATAGATTTCAATAATCTTTCTTGCTTCAACAGAAAAGTGAAAAAACACAACACTGTACAAAAATGTATTTGGATGTTTCAAATAAGAATATACAAATGATCAAATCAATACATTTTAGTGTTAGTCAATTTACCGCCATGGTATTCGACAGTGTAAACAGTCCTACACAAAACAGTACTGTAAAAAAGCAATAATACCAAACAATGCAGGAAGTTAGTATGAAGTGTTTATAACAGCATATTAGTATAAATCGTATAGGCGTCACGGACAGCCAGTAACAGCTGACAATAGCATCATCATTATTCCTGACATGGCGCCCTGTGCCTAACTGCTTCTTCCTCCAGTGTTTGTGACAAATGACGAGCAAGTATACAAATAAAGGAAAATACTTACCAATAAAAACAGAACCTTCTGCAACTTCGTCTTCTTCTTTCTCTTACTTATTCACCTCCCCGAGAATGTGAACAAACAATATAAATTCATTGTGTGAGACGGACAGCTGTGTGTGTTGCCACTAGACTTATAAATGTCTCTGTAAAACAACAAGCTAGCAGACTTCAATGGAAGCTACTTTCAAACACACTCCGCTCCTCACAGCTTCCAAAAGTGGTCCAAACATTTCCAACATGTCAGCGACGGACATATTAAAGCACCGAGGAAAGCGTTAAACGGTTATAATCCCCATTGTTTCCGAGTAAGGTTTCAAAAACATGTTTCTTCTTGACGTATTTTGCTCTTTCAAAAACGCGCCAGATTACTAGTGAATGAAGAGCGCCAAATATACGTGACCTTTGGCATGACCCATTTCCACCAATCACAAAAGAGAACATCTCTACGTCATCGCCGGACGTTGTTTGCCCATAACAAAGATGGCGGGTGGAGAAGAGGGAAAATAGAGAGGGAAAAGTGACAGTCCCCTCTGCTGGCTGCGACAATTTATTGATCACTCAAAATGATGATACGTTGTCATTATAAATAAATCCAAAGTACTGAGATTTTTCATTTAAAATGAGAAATTCCAAAGAAAAAAAGAATACTCTGTTACAAGTAAAAGTAATGCGTTCAAAAATATTGTTTAAGTAGGTCTTTGCCTTTGGGTGGTCTACATACAATAAGCAGCCTGTATGCATCTTAATATACGTATGGCAAAAGTAAATTAATCCTATTAATTATTCAAAATGTGTCCATTTAAGATAAAATAAATTATATGAGTGTATTTATAAGCAGCACTTGTTTTAATGATGATCTGAAACTACGCAAAACCATTTTGTGAAACAAAGTCTCCAAAAAAACACAGTGTCTGTAATGGTAAAAGGTAAATGCAGAGTCGAAGTCAATCTCGCATGTTCATGGATGTGAGGTTACTGTGAAATCAGATCTGTATTTAACTGACTAATTAAAACAATTTCCAGCACCAAATTCATAGCTTTAAAAGTAAAAAATGACGAGTCCAATGTAACAAACCACACCCATATTCTTGTTCAAGTAAAACAGAGTGGTGTGCAGAGGTTTAATAACATCATATACTAGGCAAACTTGACTTTCCTGTTTATCCGTATCTCCCGTATCCGTATACACGCATAAACAGTGAATCTGGCATTGGTGCTGGGGATTTAGCCGAGTTATTTTCAATAGAGTCACTCGATTGGAGCAGAAAAGTCAACAGTGGCAATGGAAACAAAAGGTAAAGTTTAAGCTCATATGACTTACTTAGGACAATAATGTTGTTCTGCAACCTTTTCTGCATTGTTTAGGACATTTATGTAATACAAGTGTTTATTTATTGATTTGTTAATCACATTGTTGTCATTGTATTTGTTTAATAGAGACAATTACACATTGTTAATAAAGAAAAAGTCAAGGTAATTATGTTTATTGAAACTAATTGCTGGCTTTTATCCCTGCTTAGGCTTTTCAAAATCACGAGGAATTGTTTTATTATTTGAATTGAATCTGAATTAAACTTTAATAATAAAACAATACTTTTCCTGAGTTATCAGCATTTGTTTGTTGCTGTAAATATGGGGAAAAGGTTATTAGGTGTGATTGAAATTTCCAGATCTGCAGGGGATTTTCCAGTTCCAGTTTCTGTGAGGAGGTTGTAATCATGCTAGTGTTTAAATGAATGTCGGTACACAATAAGGATAAGATGCCTTGAATTACTCAGCTGTATTTTAAAGATGCTGTTCTCGCTCATAGATGATTATTAATGCACTATATGTTTATTACCTTGCAAATGTAAGTTTGTGCATTCACTATTAATGTGTATAAAAACCCAACATCACTCGCTCATTTCACACATTTTACTGAGCTTGTCGGTAGATCTGCAGATATATGATTTAAACTCAAAGACAAAACAGTTTTTACTTCTCATTATGTACTGATATTGCCATCACACAAGCCATACTGCTTGTATAAGCTGGTATTTGACAGTCCTTCACAGCAGGATTTCCTGATGACAGATGTGTGTTTTAGTGAATTTAATGTTGCAATGACATTGTTGTCAAAGCTATACTTTTCATGCAAATAGACAGATCATGAAAATGTTCTAGATTTATATAATGCATGTATGTAAATGGGAAATGTGTTATATCTCTTACAGGGCAAACTAAGCACCCTCCAGAGTTGAGGATTGTGTTATTAGGTGGAAGAGTATTAACCAGTGACCCCAGTTTTAAAAGTACAGCTGGCAACATCATACTTGGCAAAAGTGTTTTTGAGACCAACAGAAGAACTGCCCAGAGTGTTGTGAGTCAGCGGGAGGTACATGGCAGACGGGTCACTGTGGTTGATACTCCAGGCTGGTGGTGCCACTACCCACGAGAAAACACCCCAGAGCTGGATCAGATAGAAATCAAGAACAGCGTCCATCTGTGTCCCCCAGGGCCTCACATATTTCTTCTAGTCATTCCTTTAGAAGAAGACTTTTCTGACATTTTCAAGGAATCCCTAGAAGAGCACATGCAACTCTTCAATAAAGGAGTCTTCGATCAAACCATTGTGCTGTTCACTGTAGATGATCCATGTAAAACAAGTTTAAAATACGACATCCCTTTCTGGCCAGCACTTCAGATGATTCTTCAACAATGTGGAAACCGAAAGCATGTTTTCAACATCAGCAACCACCAGGATAGGACTCAGGTCACAAGGCTTTTCGAGAAAATAGAGGCAATGATTGCACAAAATGCTGCTGGTCACTATTCTATTGATGCTGCTGATGGGAGTGCTCTGAGAGAGAAAATGGAAGCAATCGTTGAAAGAGCATCAAAGAGGTTTGCCGAAGTGCAGGCAAAAAGAAGGAAACTCAAAGCCCTGATTGAAGGTAAGTCAGAAATGTCTCTAAAATGCAGACAAATATGACGAAGATACCATTTATCAATAGCCTTTTGACATTACAACGCAAATGATACCTGCAAAGATACCTCACGTCCTCCTAGATTGATTTAAACTCTTTTTTTCCCTTTGAGAAGTTTCTGATTTTACTGACTTAGGTGTTTGAATAGTTAAAAAAGTCTTGATGGTCAACCTGACAATTACATAATGATGCACAAAACCTCAAGTCTGAATATCTTTTAATTCCACTTTGTCTCTAGGTGGCAAAACTCCCCCAACACATTTGAGGCTAGTGATGGTTGGTGCACAGTGGTCAGCCAAGAGCTCAGCAGGCAACACCATTCTAAGGAAATATGCATTTCCTGTTACTCACATGAGAACAACTGTGTGCTGCGAAATAAACCACAGCATGGTGGCAGATAGGCAGCTCACAGTGGTTGACTCTCCAGGCTGGTTATACAACGGCACCCTTCAGGAGCTCTCCGAGATTAATAAACTTGAAATAGAAAACAGCATGCATCTGTGCACTTCAGGACCCCACGCAGTGCTCCTTGTTGTCGGCCTGGCATCCGCGTTCAACGCAACATACCAGAAAGCGGTCCAGGAGCACATGAGTCTGTTCACGGATGAAGTCTGGAAGCACACAATTGTTCTGTTTACCAGAGGTGACTGGCTGGGAGTGAAGACTGTGGAAGAGCGCATTGAGAGTGAGAAGGGTCTGCAGTGGCTTGTGGAGAAGTGTGGGAACATGTATCATGTCTTGGATAACAAAAACCACAGTGACGAGACTCAGGTAACGGAGCTCCTTGAGAAGATTGAAGAGATGTGGGCAGGAAACAAAGATGGTCATTTTGAAGTCAACCTGGGCCGTGCTGAGCAGATGGAGGCAAGAAAAGAGGTTACAGACAAGAAGGCAAAAAGTATTCGTCAGACGGCCCAAAGACAAGCAAGAATACTCAAAGAGTTGTTTCGAGGTAATAAAAAAACTGAATGTATGATTAATTTAATTATTATTACTATTTCTAATTGAAAAAAAACTCACATTTCCCAAGGGGAGACGCAGACAATCACTGACCATAGGGTTGTACTTATCGGGCCGAAAGACTCTGGGAAGGGTATGGCAGGAAACATGATCCTTTTTGAAGAGCTGTTTGGCACAGCTTGGATGAAGAAGGTAACAAACCTCTACAGGTTTTTTCGGGGGAAACATCTGATTGTTGAAGTCTGTTTTGGTTGTCATATTATTTTGTTTGGTTACTTCTATGCAGGAATTCCAAGATCAGAGAAGAACCACAATGTGTGAGAAACATGAAAGAAATGTTGCTCGACGAAACATCACCGTGGTTGAGGCACCAGGCTGGTTTGCAGACGAGATCACACCTGACTGGCTCAAGACTGAAGTTCTGCGCAGCGTCTCAATGTGTGCTCCTGGTCCTAATGCTTTTCTCTTGGTTGTACCCATTTTCAAAACCTTTACAGAGAATGACTACAAAACAATGGTTGAGCTCTTGATGCCATTCGGTGACAGTGTCTGGAGGCACTGCATGGTGCTGTTTACCTGGGGAGACTGGCTCAAGGAAAGATCCATTGAGGAGCACATTGCCACAGAAGGCGAACACCTGGAACAGCTGGTGGAAAAGTGTGGGTACAGATATCATGCCATGAACTGCAATCCATATGGTTGTTTTGCTTTACCTATCATACAGCTGTTTGAGAAAATGTTTGACATGATAACACGAAACAAGGGCCAATACTTTGCCGCTGAAGACAAAATGGGGAACAAGCAGAAACCAACGCAGTGGCAAGAGGAGTGGAACAGGAGGGAGCAGGAGCTAATCGACAGGATGTTGAAAGCTGTTGCACAAGAACCAGAAGAACCGATCGTACCATCTATGAAGATGAACGCAAGCATGGATGGAGCCTTCACTCCGAGCATGAGTTTGTTATTACTCAGTTAATCTAGGACATGTTTTTAAATTGTTTTAAAATGTAAGATAGACCATATGGCCTGTCACGATAACAATGTTATCAAATTATCGTATTAAATGTGGTTATTGCCTCAATAACATTTATGTTACCAACTTAACGTGCAACATATTGACCAGACCTTTATAATCTGAACACTATTAGCCTGTCGTACTGTATGTGGACATGACTTCAATCAGATTTTATGTTACCGATTTATCATACCATCAATAGACATGACCTTGATTATATTAGTGCCATTGTCTCAACCTACGATGTATCGAAATGTCTTGTAATTTTTACATTAACAACTTATCATACACTTTATTTATTTTATTTTTGCTGACGTCAATATTGTTTTGTTTACATGAGAATGGAATCATCACACATTTTAGACAACATATTGAAGGATTTTCAATATTTTGGCATTGGTCATTTTTCGTTGACATCCAGACCATTTC